TCAAGACATTTTGTTACCTGAGGTGGCAAGAAAGTGACTTAAAATAACAATTTGCCTCCTGTTTATGATGACACAACCCATCCCCCTTTGCCTAACAGTTTCCTCCCCCCTCCCTTTATATGGCAGATGCTGGGACTCAAGATTGCGATTAGTGGTGAATACAATACTAAGTCTTTGAAAGATGCATGTTTTCTGGTCATACCCACTTATCCCAATATCACCCCTAAGCCAAGACTTTACAGCTCACCCGAGGAGATCTATTGGGACTGGTGGAACAAGGTATGTTGTCCTTTAGTCCTAGTGAAGCATTCCCAACAAAAGTAGAGAAAGGGTCTATCAGACCAGGGACCCTGATTTCTCCCCCACAGTATGCCAGAGCCACTGCTTTGCCCAACACCCCCCCCCCCCCCCCCCCCCCCCCCCCCCCCCCCCCCCCCCCCCCCCCCCCGGTGCCCTGAAAAGCCTGCCACCTCGGCCCAGTCCTCCTGCTGTGGAAGTCCGTTCCTGGCTCTGGAAAGCTTAGTTTTGCTGAGAGGCAGTCATACTAGAGTTTGACACAATTCAAGCGACATATGCATGTTCTTACATGTATTCAGATTGATTCATAAAGCACAGGGTGGCATTTCAGTTTCGCAACAGCTTTGAAAATGAGAGAGAGCAAAGTTATCTGCACTAAGACTCCCAATGGGCAGAGGGAGACTTAGCCTGGATTTACACTGCTGTTTGAAAACATTTCTGTTCCTAGTTTGAAAGTGTTATTTCTTGTTTAATTGTGTGGTACATACTTTGAAAGTAGTTGTTATACTCCAGAAACCACATTTTTGTGGCTGCCACAAACTAGGTTGAATTGGTTGAGACATGATGAGATATTAATTGAAAAGCTTTTCAAATTTAATAAACTTTCCCCATGTTTTTATGATCGAACTAATTAGGAAATGACATTTACAACCCAGGAACAAAAATCCTGGCTTTAACTGGCACGTTTAATCTGTTGTTTTAATGAATTGTTTTTAATGTTTTAATGTATTTGTTGACTTTTTATATGATGATAGCATCTTACGGTGCTTGTGTGAGGCTGCCCTGAGTCCCCCCTCCATCGTAGGGGGGGGGGGGGGAGAAGGGCAGGGTAAAAGTTTACAAAATAAATAAATAATCATGTTACATAGCGTAATCCAGTTCAAAGCAGATAATCTGGATTCAGAAACTGGATTATATGGTAATGTAGATGGGGTCTCAGTCATCATCATCTAAGCTAACCTACTGCCCACCTCTTTTCCAGCATTAGAGATGCAACGGCCAGTCCATTCCGCTTCTGTATATAGAATGGGAGGAGGCATCATTTTATTTTTGGCCACAGGGCCAGGCTTGCAGGGAATTGTTCAGTCCTCACAGTTTTGCCCTTGTGCCCCCTAGATCCATAGGGGAAAGAAATCTATAGTAAATCATGGGTTCAGGAGACTGTTGAACCCATGGCTTCCTAGGGGCAACTAGGGCCCTTCCACACAGTCCCATATTCCAGAATATCAATGCAGAAAATTCCACAAAGTCTGGTTTGAACTGAGTTATCTGAGTTTCAGTTCAAATTAGATTTTATTCAGCTGTGTAGAAGCCCCCCTAGTCTGCCATTTTAGAGGCCAGCAAGGCTCTTTTTACATTCTTAAGTAGAGTTGGGGAAAGTCTTTCTCAAAAACCCTGAAAGTCAATCACTATAGAAAATGCTGAGCAAAAGGGGCCCGTGTTCCTCCTTGGTATAAAGCAGCATGCTATGTTCTTCTGATGTAAAAATGCCCAACTGACCCCTTTAACTGGGTCAGTGTTGTGAGGAAAACGCCTTTTCTTATCTGAACGGCCCAGTCCTGCCCATGTTTATTCAGGAATAAGCCACACTGGTTTCATTTGGATTTGCCTCCCAGGAAGTAGGGCTGGCGGGCACACATTTGGGGCAACGGCTCTTCCTGAAACTAAGCTTTGGACTTTCCTCCCAGGTTTGTGGAGTAAGGAGTAGCAAGGGGTGTAGTCACACTGTACTTAGAAGCCGCTCGATATCACTCCAGCTGCCACAGGTCCATTCTATCAAAGCCTGGGATGTGTAATTTCTGCTGTTCTCCTGCACGACAGACACCAAAGTTTTCTAGGCAAGAGAACATCCACAAACTTGCAAATTGCAGAATCTCATAGGCTATAACTACACGGTATTGAAGCCTTTCATGGTGTAATAGTCAGTTATATACAGGAGGCAGTAGTTGCAAACATCCAGCAATCTTTCCTCTTGTGGATAGAGAATTGTTGTTACTTGTCTGAATGCATCTGCCTCTACGTCCCACCTCGTAACCTAAGATCATCCGGGGAGGCTCTGTTCTCGCTTCCACCATTGCAAATGTAGCTGGTGGGGACGAGGGACAGGGCCTTCTTGTCGGTGGCCCCCCGCCTGTGAAACATGCTTTCAAATGAGATACGATTGACCCCATCCCTCCTGGCTTTTAGGAAGAAAGTAAAATCGTGGCTGTGGGACCAGGCCTTCGGTCAGCAGACATAAAGCAGCACTTTGGTTGAAATGGACTAGAAAGACAATTTACATGAGGATACAGTTTTATTGGTAATTAAGGTTTTATACTGTTTAATTAATGGCTTATGTATTTTATTGTATTTTAATGGTTTTATGGTTATGTTTAATGGTTATTGTATTAATTGTTCATGTAACAACATTGAATTGCTACCTATGTAAGCCGTCCTGAGTCTCCATTTCAGGGTAGAGAAGTGACAGGATATAAATACCAGAAATAATAATAATAATAAATAACAGTTTCCAAGCCTTGAAGTAAAAGCACTAGAAACTGCCTTTGGTCACACTGATGCCTTGCATCATTTGCTTTGGGCTGGATGCTATGGATAAGTAAACAATCAAACTTCTTAGGTTCCTAGTTGGGCATATGGAATATTTGTGCCAAGTTTGGTCCAGATCCATCATTGTTTGAGCCCACAGTGCTCTCTGGATATAGGTGTACTACAACTCACAAACTCAACGTCAGTGCCCACCAAACCCTTCTAGTATTTTATGTTGGTCATGAGAGTCCTGTGTGGCACATTTGATTCAATTCCATCATTGGTGGAGTTCAGAATGCTCTTTGATTGTACGTGAACTATACATCCCAGCAACTACAACTCCCAAATGACAAACTCAAATTTTTTTGAGTGATGGTCACTTCTTGGGTTAGTAGGTGTCTTGTATCCAAATTTGGTGTCAATTCCCCCAGTGGTTTTTGAGTTATGTTAATCCCACAAACAAACATTACATTTTTATTTATATAGATAATAATAATAAGAAGAACAATAACAATACTCCTGACCTCACGATGGTGTTCAAAAACAGAGTGTGGATCGTCGATGTTGCAATCCCAGGTGACAGAAAGGATTGAAGAGAAACAACTGGAAAAGCTGACACGATATGAAGATTTGAAGATCGAATTGCAAAGACTGGACAAGCCAAGGTGGTCTCAGTGGCAGGCCCGTAACCAGGATTTTGATTGGGGTGGGGGGGGGGGCTGAGTCTGAGTGAAAGAAGGTCTACCCTAGCAAACCTTTTGTATCGTTACCCCAATACCCCCATGCATATGGGATATATTGAGTATGGTGATCAGATCATGATATGAATAAACATAACAGTTTAAATAATGCACCAGTAAGGCCTTTTCACGAACCACCATGAAAATTTCGGGGGGGGGAAGCCCCTCAACCCCCCCCCCCCCCCCCCGCTACATGCCTGCCCAGTAGTGATTGGCACATTGGGTGCAGTGCCTAAAGACTCTGGCCTGCACTTAAACTCAGCCATATGACCCATATATTCTATCAAGGCAGAAAAACCTTACAATATCTGCTTTGAACAGAGTTATCTGAGTCCACACTGGAATATACTCCAGTTCAAAGCAGATAATGTGGGATTTAATTCAGCTGTGTGGAAGGGTAGAAGGGCACTGACAAGATTACCATCTGCCAACTGCAAAGGCCACCTTACTGGAATCTGCACACATTATTCGCCGATACATCACACAGTCCTAGACACTTGGGAAGTGTCCGACATGTGATCCAATACAACAGCCAGCTGAGTGTCTGCTGTGGACTCATCTTGTGGTATTTCAAATAATAATAATAATAATAATAATAATAATAACAATAATTTCTATCCCAGTGGCTTGTTGTGGTAACAAGGATTGGTGAGAAAGCTTCAGTGGAGGCCCCTCTTCCTCATGATAACTCCTTCAGGAGTACATTTCCCTTTCTAGGAGTAGATTTCCTCACTTTCTGTTGCCTCACCCCTGTTGTTAACTAGGAGTCCGATATTTGTAACTCAGGGCATGCCTGTAGTTGAGTATAGGGCAGGGATGGGCAAACTTGGGCCCTCCCTCCAGGTGTTTTGGACTCTAACTCCCACCATTCCTCACAGCCTCAGGCCCTTTCCTTTTCCCCCTCAGCGGAGCGCGGCTGAGGGGGAAAAGGAAAGGGCCTGAGGCTGTGAGGAATGGTGGGAGTTAGAGTCCAAAACACCTGGAGGGAGGGCCCAAGTTTGCCCATGCCAGGTTTAGGGGGGTGGGAGAGAGAAGGGGGTCTCAAGCCTAAGGGAAGTAAGAGAGCCAGAGGCGCCCTTTTCTCTCAGGGCCCTTCCACACAGCCCTATGACCCATATATTCTATCAAGGCAGAAAAATCTTCCCATATCTGCTTTGAACTAGGTTATCTGAGTCCACACTGGAATATATTCCAGTTCAAAGCAGGTAATGTGGGATTTTTTGCAGCTGTGTGGAAGGGTAGACTGCGCCTGACTGGGGAGGAGGCTCCACTTGGGCGGGAATTCACCTCCCTCCTCCTCCTCCTCGCGCACAAACAAGAGCGGGCGCGAGGAGAATGTTTTCTTCTTCTCCCCCTTTCCAGGAGTTGGGGGCGTGTCCCAGACCCGAGGGGGCGTGTCCAAGGGCGGCTCTCAACCCAGTCCTTGCCTGAGCGGCGCAGGTGGCTCGCGGGCGAAGAGAGAGAAGGCAACGGGAGAAGCTCGAGCTCTCTCTCTGTGACGCGCGCCTCTTGGGCTGCGAGGCGCGCGGGCGGGCAAACTTTCCTTCCTCCTCCTGAGGCGAAGAAGGACGAGAGAAACCTACACGCGCTTCTCTGTCGTTCGGACTCTTTTTGAGGAGGGAGATGGGAGAGTCGCTCCTGAGGCGCCCGCTTTGTTATGGACTCCCCTTGTTTTGCGACTCCCCTTGGCTTTTACCCCCCGCGAGGCGCCACCTGCTGGAGCTGGAGTTTGGAGCAAAACCTGGAAGCTTGGGAACATTGTAGGCTGCCATGTGCGCCCTCCTCCTCCTAATCTGAGACTCTTGCCTTGCAGATCTTTCTCTCTCTCTGCCCTAGACCATGGCCGGCTTCATCCTAAGGGACAGCTCTCTGCTGGGCTTCTTCCTGGTGCTGCTGGAGGTGCTGGCTCCCCTCTCTGCAGCTTCCTCCTCTTCTTCCTCCAAAGCTGTTACCTGCCAGGAGATCACGGTGCCCATGTGCAAAGGCATTGGCTACAACCTGACCTACATGCCCAACCAGTTCAACCACGACACGCAGGACGAAGCCGGGCTGGAGGTGCACCAGTTCTGGCCCCTGGTGGAGATTCAGTGCTCGCCGGACCTCAAGTTCTTCCTGTGCGCCATGTACACCCCCATCTGCCTGCTGGACTACGCCAAGCCGCTGCCCCCCTGCCGCTCGGTCTGTGAGAGAGCCAAAGCCGGCTGCTCCCCGCTCATGCGGCAGTATGGCTTTGCCTGGCCCGAGCGCATGGGCTGCGACAAGCTGCCCCTCCTGGGTGACGCCGAGCAGCTCTGCATGGACTACAACCGCACCGAGGCCGCCCCCGCTGCCACCACCACCTTGCCCCCCTTTGGCACCAAGCCCACGCGCTCCAAGGCCAAAGGGGTCCACAAGGAGCAAGCCCCCTTTGGAGGCAGTGGTGGAGGCGCCTGCAAGAGGGTGTGCGAATGCCGGGAGCCCTTGGTCCCCATCTCCAAAGAGACCCACCCGCTCTACAACAAGATTGAGACGGGACACGTCCGCAACTGCGCCATCCCCTGCTTCCAGCCCTACTTCACCCAGCACGAGAAGACCTTTGCCACCTTCTGGATCGGCTTGTGGTCCATCCTCTGCTTCATCGCCACTTTTGCCACGGTGGCCACCTTCCTGATCGACATGGAGCGCTTTCGCTACCCAGAGCGGCCCATCATCTTCTTGTCTGCCTGCTACCTTTTTGTCTCCATTGGCTACATCATCCGGCTGGTTGTGGGCCACGCCAATGTGGCCTGCAACAAGGACTACAACCACATCCACTATGAGACTACGGGGCCAGCCCTCTGCACGGTGGTCTTCCTACTCATCTACTTCTTCGGCATGGCCAGCTCCATCTGGTGGGTGATCTTGTCGCTCACTTGGTTCCTGGCCGCTGGGATGAAGTGGGGCAACGAGGCCATTGCCAGCTACTCCCAATATTTCCACATGGCTGCCTGGCTCATTCCAAGCATCAAGTCCATAGCTGTGCTGGCCCTGAGCTCGGTGGACGGTGACCCAGTTGCTGGCATCTGCTATGTTGGCAATCAAAACTTAGACAAGCTCCGGGGCTTTGTTTTGGCTCCGCTGGTGGTCTACCTTTTCACTGGGACCATGTTTCTGCTGGCAGGGATTGTGTCGCTCTTCAGGATCCGGAGCGTCATTAAACAAGGAGGCACCAAAACGGACAAGTTGGAGAAGCTAATGATCCGCATCGGCATCTTCACTGTCCTTTATACCGTCCCGGCAACGATTGTGGTGGGATGCTACATCTACGAGCAACACTACCGGGAGACGTGGGAGATGGCTCAGAACTGCTCCTGCCCCGGGGACAAGAACAGGTTGAGGCCGGACTATGCGGTCTTCATGTTGAAGTACTTCATGTGCCTGGTGGTGGGAATCACCTCGGGGGTCTGGATTTGGTCTGGCAAAACTTTTGAGTCGTGGAAGCGGTTCACGGGGAGGTGTTGCCGGAGTGGAAAGCCCGTGAGCTCTGCCATGTATGGGGACGCCACTGCGGCTCTAACGGGGAGGTCTGGGATGCCCAGTTCTGCTTCATACCACAAACAAGTCCCGCTCTCCCATGTATGAAAAGCACCTTGCTGGGTGTCACATACACGCAAGACGGGAGCAGGTAAGCACGGCTCGGCTCCCAGCTGGAAAAGGCTTGGGAGCGTCCCTAAAGCTTTGAGTCTCCTTGTGGTGGAACTCTTTGGCTTCATCTTGAATTCTGAAAAAGAAGAGGGTCTGTGTGTTGTGGCAGTGGGTAGATGCCACTTCGTTTGCTACACCACAACATGGTGATTTGCCTCCTTTCTCGGAAAGCAGGCAAGTAAGGAGTGCAGGGGGCCCGATTGTGAGTTGCATGCAGGATGGATCTGTGACCTTTTAAAAAACATGGGAGAATGGCTTAGGAGATTGAGGTTGTTAATGAAAGAATTGGAGGTGGGAGAGAAGAAAGATTAAGGGACCTGCTTGATCTTCCGCCTTCCTGCTTTGTATTGCTCCAAATGAGGCCTTGGCTTCTTCTCTCTTTCCTCAGTGTTGAAACAAGAGGTGCAGATGGGCTGTTTTGACAAACAGTACGAAGGATCAAGTCATGGAAGTTACTTCAGGGCTCCTGCTGGGTGGGAGATTCTGGAAGTTTAGTCCAAAGGTAAATTTCTCAAGCTGTGGTGACAGATTGAGCAGCCCTTCCTTTCTGTTTAGCTGCTTTCAGGAAGCCTTGACAGTGTGCCCACAGATGTGTCTGCCCACAAGTACCTCAGGAAGGTTTACGTCCAGGTAGACAGGGAGAAGATTGCAGATTAATATTCTATGGCCCTGTCCACACAGCTGAATAAAATCTCACCATATCTGCTTTGAACTGGAATATATGGCAGCGTGGACTCAGATAACCCAGTTCAAAGCAGATATTGTGGGTTTTTCTGCCTTGATATTCTGGGTTCTAGCGCTGTGTGGAAGGGCCCTATGTCTCCAATGTAATGCTTCCTTTAGCCCAGAGGAAGCTAATTTACTTAGCCGGAGTAATCCTTGTTCACGCCCTTTCCAGCTAATTGTAATTTTATAATGCACTGGCTCCTAAAGTTTGCCATACAAAGAAACCAGGGCCCTTCCACACAGCCCTATATCCCAAAATATCAAGGCAGGAAATCCCACATTATCTGTATGTAGACTCAGATATCCCAGTTCAAAGCAGATATTGTGGGATTTCCCGCCTTGATATTCTGGGATATAGGGCTATGTGGAAGGGCCCCCAGTTTCAAAGGAGGGTTCTGCTTTTCCAAAAATTGTCAGCTGTGGAACTTAGATTGAGCAGAGTGTGATTTTAGATTTATTTTTTGGTGGGCACCTGTTTGCCATGATTTTACTCATGTCTTCGCCAAATTGAATGCCAGAGTCAAATGAGATAACAGTTATTTTCCAAACTACTTGCCTTGTCCCAGTGTGTTGGCCTCTGCTTAACTACTACTAGCTAGAATTGAGATGCAACATGCTGGTTAATGACAGTGAAAGTTGCAACCCTAAGGCCCCTTCCACACAGCTGTATAAAATCCACATTGAATTGGATTATATGGCAGTGTGGGCTCAGAAAACCCAGTTCAAAGCAGATATTGTGGATTATCTGCCTTGATATTCTGGGTTATATGTCTATGTGGAAGGGACCTCAAACTCCCTTACCTGAAAGCTGAGCAAGAAAAATGTAATACTTTGGATTACGTCTCCTAAATTCTTCCAGCAACGCAACCTTGGGGAGACTTGGGTTTCAGGTCCAAAAGGTAATATTTTGGTGGCGCCACCAGGAAAGAAGTGTCATGGAATGAATGGTATTTACTTGTAAGTAGGCATCCACTGCACTTTTTGCAAAGCAAAGATTTTCCTCATCTCAGCATCATTTCTTTAGACATAAGAAATCCAAAGAGCAACTAGAGTGTGAGGCAAGCAAGTTGCTTTGTTTCATCAGGTCAGAATTTGGTTTATTTAGAAGTCTGCTTCACTAAATGCACCGAATTACTCTCTTCTCCATTGAGTTATCTTCCCAACTAGGCATTCATTGGGTCTCAGCCTTAAAAGAAATGGGGCCTTGCCCTCGCCTTCTTGCTCCCTTTTTGGCTATTTATCCTCCGATCTGCCATTTGTGGGAACAATGTTTCTCTGTCATTTAATGTTTCACTACTGTTTTGAACAGGAAGAAAACCAAGGTTTTTTTTAAATGCTTTCCTCTACCTGAGAAAATGAGCCTCTGCCTTAAGTTCAGTCCTTTCTGACTGAATTCAGTGGCATCAAACCATTGCAAGCAAGACAATCACTCTTCCTCTGTGCAGAAGGGAGTCAGGACAATCCTGAGTTTTGAAGCACTGACTGCAGACGCTTTGAAAGGGAAGCTATTCGGCTTGTAACTGAGAATTGGAAATAACATTTTTGGGCAACAGCTTCTTAAACCCCAAAGTCCACACTGACTTTGTGGTCTCGCTGGCTACTGCTTCTGTGATCTATTGCCCAGAAAAGTCACAATTCCAAGCTCTCTCTGGAACTTTTTAAAGTTATACCCCAAACCTTCTCATAGGAGCCCAAGGGAGTCTTTCAAAGTTGCAGCAAACTTGCCTGAGATACAGCAGGAGGGGCTGTTGGTCCTCTCCCAATGTGAAATGTTTGCACTTTAATTCTACATAAGAAAGGCAGTTGTGTGGTGGGTTGGGTCTCCTCTGCAAAGATGGGCAGCTTTTTGAACAGCAGTCATGAGAGGGGTTCCTCTCACTGGAAAACAGGGAAGGAACCCAACTTTCATGTCTGTCTACAGGGTGAAGCTATTCTAGAAGACTTTGAGATCAATTTCGGACATCCATACATTTTGCTCTTCCTTAGGGAAGGTATCACCATGACCCAAGAAAAATGCAGGTTGAATTCCAGCTAGTGTGCTTCCCCACAGACTGCCATCATGTCTGACCCCTGCAGCAGCTCAAAGACTATCAAATATTTTTTTCCAGGCAATGCTTTTCTGTGGATTTCATTTCCCCACTCAGTTCACTGGAATAATGAATCATCCTTAACTCGCCCTCCTTCTCCTCCAGTCAAACCAATGCGACTAAGTTGCCCTGAATTCAGTGGGTAGACATTCATAAGTGTATGCTGTCACAAATGTTTATCCAGAGTTGTTGAAGGAGAAATAAATAACTACTGTCTTTTTCTATAGTTGCCAGTGTATTTCCTTAGGTTAGATGGTGAAGCTCCAAATAGTTTGACTTACGGTGATTCTCAGGCAACCTTATCATGGGGGTTTCTTGGCAAGATTTGTTCAGAGGGGGGTTGCCTTTGCCTCCTTTCTGAGGCTGTGAGTGTGTGACATGCTCAAGGTCTCCAGTGAGTTGCCATGGTGGGTTTTCAGTGTTCAAATCACTACATTACTAGCTCTCATTTAGATTTTGGCTAGTTGGGTTTGAAGGACATGGTGGCTTGTCACTCACAGCCACTCTGCCCTTCAAAACTTGCATTCAGGACGAGCAGCTGTGGATTGCCAAAGGCTTGTGGCCTACAGTTCCTATCAGTCTTTCCCAGTAGAGTTTATGAGGAATTGTGGTAGTTTTAGTCCCAAATAGCTAATAAGCCAGTTTCCAAACTGTTTTAATCAGAGCTTTCCAGTATTCCTGCCATATTCCACTAGCAGCTTGTTTAGGTTTATTGGAAGCTATCTTATCCCTTCAACATTCCTGTAACTTCTTCCCCAGGGATTCTTGCTGTAAAGAGTAAGATGTATGAATTAATGTGGGCTCTTACATTAGCAGGACAGCATGAGAAGAGAGTCACCAGCAGTTCTTTTCCGATGCTGCTGAGATGGAGGCAATCCGTAGGTCTAAAGACTCCAGTCTTTATCTGACCCTGGCATTCCACATCTGCTCCTTACTGCTGGGGTTAGCCAAAAGGAATATGCAGCTTGGAGAGGTCACATCCAGTTCCTGGACCGGATGGCTGTGGCACTGGTGATGTCAAATGTTAAGCGCACAGGCACAGAGGGGAGAAGGAAGTTCAAGGCAAACTACTGGGGCCAGGGTGGGAACTCTTCCCCTTTCCCACTTGAAGACCACTGAAGGCAGAGGAAAGTTAGGCGGCAGAACATTGGAGGCCAAGGCCGAATTTTCTGTTTGTAGTTTTAAAAACTGTGACTATATCCAACTCAAGTCATTTAAAGTCTTTTTTTCCCCCTGGAACAGCTACAAACTATTGAGCTACCAACAGGAATTTCATCCTTTGGAGCAACTAGTTTGGTTTTGCTGTATGGAAATCTGAGTCTTCCTGATTGACTCTCAAATGTGTTGTAGCAACAAGCATTTATGGGCTGGCTTCCACATCATCCACATGGAGTGAGGGCCTCAGCTGCAGGTCTGTATTATACCTACCACACAAGATCCCACGTTAGGTGGGTCCTACTCCAAAAATGGCTTGTCATGACACATTTAAGGTGTGAGGAGACTTAATGGTTTATTTACTTCCACGTACTGAGGTAAAAATTTGGAAACACATTACCTCTTGTTTTTTGCAGCAGCCAAACCTAGGTAGCGCGATGGAAGTTGCGGTCTGACCCGAGAGGTCCAAAGTATCTGCTACTTAAAAAACCCGCTGTGTTGCCTTTCCAAGATAGCTTTGTTTGTTAGAAGCTGCAGAGCAGCATCACTAATTAAAACAATTGTTTTTGTCTTAGGTGTCACTGAGTCATAATTGCTGCTATTCTTTTTTTCAACGAAGAAATCATGGGCCACTGTATACCTTAGCAATGAGACTTCTTCTCTGTAGACTCTCCAACAATAAAAAAAGACCTGGGAAGTCTGGTATACCTTGACAGGTGTCATAAAGTGCATCAGTACTAAACCTTCTCAAATTCCCAAATAATATAAGGCATGCTTAATTCCTGAAATCAACCCATTTGCATGCTGTTACCCCAATGTATGTATCAAGAAATACATTCACCAACTTTCTTTCCCCCTGCTCACGTTACTAGGATGTGTTTCCTAGTAATTCAAACTTTATCCAGTTTGTATTCTATGTATGCCTCCAGTGGTGCAATTTGTCAGGGAGGAGAATTTGGCATCTTTCAATCGGTGCCCACTTTTCTGGCCAAAGCAATAACTGGAGTAGAAAGAACTTAATTGAATGTAACAATTTGCTACCTGCTAGCGCACCATCCTAGATTTTGACTTTTGAGAAATTCATCCTTATACCTTTTTTGGACACATTGTATTGCATGAACATCAATGTGAGGCAGCTTCTTATGTTCCCAAACAGAAAATGTACCAGTGTCTGACTTTACATCCTTCCATTACTTCCCCAAGAAGGAAACTGCAACAAACTAGATTACTGTTGGCTTCCTTGAGCTATCTCACGAGGGTTGGATATATATCCTCGTATTTTCCTCACCAAATCACACAGAACAACATATATTTTTGGCAAGGTGTAAGAAATACAAATTGTATTACGTATGATAAAGACAGTTGGGTGAGAACCTTGAAAATCCTCATCTGTTTTAATGCCTATTTTTGTTTTTCACTGTTTAATTATATGCTGTGCCAGGAGAATTGAGGTCTGGGGACAAAAATGTTCAACACAACGTCCAAAGAAGGGGGAAAGGCAGGTCCTGGTTAAGGTATAGACTAGTCTGCCTTTGTGTAACAGATTGGACTACATCCGTCTTGTTCAATTTATGAAAGTCTCACATTGCATATTATGGCTTACTGGCTCCTTGACAATCTCCTTTATGCCACATGGCTAACAAGAAGCAGCTATGGACTGCTAGAAGGAGGAATTAGTTGAAATGCTGTTTATCAGTTCTGATTCCAGTTGTAAATGTTTGCTTGACATTTCTCAACCTTGATATACAACCAATAATTTAATACAACTAGAACAGCATCTTTATGAAACACAAATAAGAAACACTATGCTTTCAGTGTTTTAGAAACATGCTGTTTACGGCAAAAAAACTGAGAGGGTGATAGCTGCTTATATAATTCCTAAATTAACAAGTAAAATAGAAATTTATTGAAATTGTACCCTAAAGGCAGAAGACTGCAACGTACGGAATACCAATAGTTTCACAAGGGTTCCTTTACTCAAGATATTGTGTACTCTTAATATTTTTCAAAACTAAATTGCACCATGTTGCTATAACATGTAAATAGCTGTATTAAAAGAATTATGTTTATATATAACTGAATCCCTAGTGAGCCTTTGATACGGGTTGGAACAGGATGTACATTCTCACGCTGTCTGTGGTACCAATAACAGAATGGAAACCTGGGGCATTAAATCGCTGTACTTCATGTTAGATTCATGCTTAGGTTGTGCTGCTCTTTCAGTTGTGCCTTGTTGAGATGGAGCTACTACTTGCAATATGATTAACAATACCATGCCAAAACCGTTTTAAAAAAGAAGACACAGTTGATTCTGTAAAAAGCTTTAAGAGGAAATAAACCAACTTTGGTCAACTTAATAAATGCCTAAACATGATTTTTGTACCTATGGTCAAGGGCTAATTCTCTGTTACAAGAAAGACGGCTGGTTTGAGTCTTCAGAAATCTATCATTTACCGGACGTGGTCCCATGGCACTCGGCATGCCAGGCTGTTTAAAATGCAGATCATAACGTCCATGATCTTTTAAAAATTCTGTGACAAAACCACAGCTCCTGTATGGAATTACACATAGGCAACGTAATGGAACCACAAGCTACACCAACTCAAATGAAAATGATTGTTGTTGTTTTGAAAAAAGATTTTGCTGTTCCCTCTAGGGCCCAGACTTTGAGAACATCACATGCCTTTAAGTATAGCTGTACATATTGCGTTTTGTGAAAATATAAAAGAAACCCGAGAATGTATTTAGAGTCTGTGCAAAGTGGACTGCAAAGAAAACACAAGCATAGTTTTTTAGATCGAGTTTGTGATTATGGTGAATAGAAAACAAAAATTTACAGGAATGCATTCTTTCTGGAAAAGAAACAGGACAAAAACTAGCGAGGAAGTTTTGTGAAGTACTGGCAAGTTTGTGCTTTGTGGGCAAGAGAAAGCCAAGAACCATTTCTGGAGGAGCCACTGTGTTTCTCCCTTCCTTCAACTCCCTAAAATAGATGGGTTAACCTCTCCATGGCCAAACTAAGCATATAAAGTTGGGCTGAGCAATGTGCGGCCTCCTAAGATGATGCCAGACTGCAACTCCCATTATCTCTCACCAGCTAGGCCTGAGGGAAGCCGCCGTCCAATAAAGGCCGAAAGTTATTCATCTCTAATCTGAAGGAACTTTCACAAGAACTATCCTTCCATTCCTTCATGATTATATTAAATATTTCCAACAGGCCACAAAATGGAACTTGCCCATCACAAAATGCAGCTTCCCCCAAGAAGTTTTGGTTAATTAATGGATTTCCTCATCCACACTGAATTTGCTCGGTTCTGACCATCATATATGTAAGCAGAGTAAAGGGGGGGGGGGGGGCAAGAAGGAGCTTGATTAGATGCCCATGAACACAATGGTATGCTATCACTATACAGAGAAATCATCGCCTCTGGATAATATTTGTATATGCTACATCTTCACTTACATGGTGTATTCACATTAGAAGTGTCAAGAGCTCTCTTTTTATTGAATACCTATAATGCTGAAGATTGAAAATGGTTCCATGTCACTTAATCGATTTCCTTCAAATTCAGTGAAAGTACTAAAAGTTATCCTGGCTCCTCTTCAGATTTGAGCAGCTTTGTTCTTAGCAAGTGTAAGCAGACACAGGCAGATTCCCTATATACTGTTACTAAATATTTCACAGAATGCTTTGGTGATTCAGATGTCACCTTTGCATATAGCAGATATCATTAACCTAATGTTTGTCTAAATACTTTAAGACACTAGATCTTGTACAATTTCAGAAGCTAAATAGCGCCAAGCTTGGCTAGGACTTGGGAGACTGCCAGAGAATACTGAATGCTGTTGGGCCATATTTAGAGGAAAACAAAGAGAAGTATCCTCTGAAGAAATCTTGGCAAGAAAACCCTGTAATAGAATCGCCATTAATTGGAGTTTACTTACTGGGACATGACAACAATTAACCTCATATTGTATATGGAGAGCTGATGATATGGTATATCTAAACCCAATAATTACATATTTGCCTGACACTGGGCTGCGGTTTACAACCTCAGGATTTTATTTACCAAGGTGAACAGTGTCTAGTATTTCCAGATATTATTGAACTACAATTCCCAACATTGCTCACAACTAAGGTTAAAACTGATAAGATACCGCAGGGTATTACAGCTCAAGGGAAAATCCCACAAGCCATGGCATCTCCTTTTAATACTACACTTTGACAGAAGAAGACACAATTGAGGAAATTCTGCCGTTCATGGAAGTCTTGAAAATATAAGAACATTAGAAAATGATAGTTTCGGTAGGTAAACAAAGCAGTTAGGGGGGCAGTGGAAAATGTAGGTTACAGCCTCTACTATATTAAGACAGCATTTATTATTTGTGAATCAGGTATATCTCCTGGTGCCACTGAAAGACATGAACACAGCTTTTAAGTTACAGGGAAATGTGACTTTTTTGTTTGCTGCCTTATAACAAACCGGACATTTTGCTCTACAGCAGTGGTTCTCAACCTGGGGTCCCCAGATGTTTTTGGCCTTCAACTCCCAGAAATCCTAACAGCTGGTAAACTGGCTGGGATTTTTGGGAGTTGTAGGCCAAAACACCTGGGGACCCCACAGGTTGAGAACCACTGCTCTACAGAAAGAAATCCTTTTTCGGGTCATAAATCTTTTGGAGGAGCTCAGGAAGGCCTTTAACATACAAGGAAGGAAGGGTTTACTGTGCTCACTTATGACAATGTTCAGCACTTGTGCATTCAAAGCATAAGTGTGCACAACCTAATGTTTTACAACCTGAAATAAATAAAAAATGCTTCTGCCATTGAATTTGCAGTATATCGCTTCCAATTTCTTCCCAAAGCTCTATTTTTAAGGGCAGAGCTGTATAGCCACTATGTGTGATTCTATTTCCAGTCCAGGTACTCAATGTTAGGAAGCAGAGACAGACCTGAGCTGGGCTTTGCAGCATCAGGGGTCACTAACCAAAAAGGTGCCAGAAAGTTAGGAAACGACATCCCATTTAGAAGCAGACTTGCCATCCAAGTCCCTGCCACTTTGGGAAACTGAGCATCCTTCTCTCTAGTAGCAACTACGTCAATACAAACAACTGCAGCACTCAAAGAATGGATGTTAAGCATGTCCTTTGGTACTTGTGATTTGAACAGTCACCTCTCCCACTTCTCTTGTTTAATGCATACTCCTTACCAGGCCAAAGGGTTGTTCTCAACATTCATTTCCATTTCTCAAGGGCATGTCCTCTACCGGCCAAACCCACTGTAAGAGGTTTCAATATATAATCGCCTTGGAGACAAAAACAAAGTAATTCATATATAGAGGAACAATATGGCAGCACTCAAGTGAGTGGACACCCTATTGAATTATGGCCAGTTTCTGAATTTCCAGCTAAGTTGGCACAAAAGGGTGAGGTTGGCCTCCTTCTCATAAATATCTTCAGATGGCAAGAGCGAACATACTGGAAACAGTTTCCTCTGGTTTTAGTATGTACACAACAGGTGTGCCGTTGGGGACCTCTATTTTGCATCAATAGGCAGTAATCACATAATCACTGGGATACTAACTAAACTAAATATCCCACCACAGCACTTTGATATCTACAGATGAATACTTTCATATACTGCACCGTTCTTCACGTTTTCTGAGTGTGTGCTCTTCCATTTTCTATTATGCAACATCTCAGCCTCCCTACTTCTTAAGAGCACCCATCTGACAGGTGAGGGGAAATTCACAGATTCTCAGACAGGTGTATGCAACCTGTTCAGGTGTACAAAAGCTGGACTTGAGCCAAAGGAGCTGAATATTTTTTTAGGAGGGACTCTCTCTTCAATCTCTATTTCTTACTGACTACAATTTTACCTGCCACCATACAGACCCTAGTTCTTATAAGGTACAAAAGCCCAAACAGTTACAAGTTGTATTATCTCAATACTGAAGAAAACCTGAAAGTTTTCACTTGTTCTGATAAACCAAACTAGTATTTATGATGACTGTTAATTAAAATGGTAATAAGGAAACACATTGCACAGCCATATACAGTATACAATTTATGAAATTACTTCTCAGTAAACCAGGATAGTTCATTGTGAGATATGGAAGAGTTAGGGTCACATAGACTTGCAAACTCCAAGAATTGCAGCTGACAGACTATCCGGAAGATGCCTTTTCCTGACTCTCCACATGGCCACATAGCAAAGTAGTATCCAGTATTAAAATGCCACTACAGTACTTCTCAGAGACCCTTCCCTTGCTGCCTTCAAAGGAGAGGCAGGTGTTGACCAGATACAGGGTCTTTTTAGTGGTGTGGTGATACCAGAGTTAATGGGATGCTCTCTGCTGGGTGGTGAACCTGGTGCTGAGTTTCAAGTCTCCATGGTGCCAAATGAAAACAATTTTGGGTGTCTATGCTTTTTAAATCTTATGAATGTATAGAGTGAGGGGGCTTTTTATTATTTTGTGCTACAGCTGTTGTACATTCTTATTATCTGCATCATTAGTGCAAGTTGCTCTGCAAAGTCTTCCGACTGCAGATTTGGTCTTTTGTCAACAAACATGAGGTGAACAGGATGGAAGAGTCCAGCAGGCACTGTGGCATACGGTTTCAGTGATGCTTGCTGCAGGTATCCATATGTGCCCAGTGATATAAGGAGGAGGATGCACAAAAATCCAGTTGGAATAAACACCCTGGGAAAGAGGAATACAAAGTAAAGCAACAATGCCCAATCTTAATTAAAATAGAGTTTATTATTAGCTTCTCTTTTAATACAAACATGAGAAAGAAAAGCCACCTGAAGATGTAGCATTTGTTTCAAAATTGAATTGTGATCAATACCTGAAACCACAGACTCCGTAGAACGCCTGCTTGGGGCTGGTAAGTTAAAATACTGCATGAGACTATAACAGTCTGATGGCCTGTGTACACTCGAGAAGCAAGTTGGGCTCGGCATTAATACAACTATTGTAAGAGAGGCTGAACAGGAGTTTGCACTGCACCTGTTATTGAAATTGTTTTGAAATACAAATGATTTACATATTTTGACCTGAAACTGTGAAGATCTGCAGTCCAGGTAAGTTTTTTTATGCTTCCTAATTTTTGGAGCAAAACTCCTTTTCTGGAAGAGCAAACTAGCTTTAGAGGAAAACTCAGCTTTCCGTAGTTCACTTCCAGAACAAGGGGCATTAAATACCAGGCTTTAAAGAAAAGAAGTCTTTTAAAAGGCAATTAAATGAACTAAAGATTATCATGCCTCCCTCATCAACAAGGCCAGGGCCATCAAAAGACTTCCCCACTGTGAATCTAAAGCTTTTTGGAAGCACAGGACAAAAGCAAAAACGTGCTCCATATCCATTGTTTGCAGTAGAAAAGTTTCGCAGAGCAGCCTTATTGTCCATCGATTACCAAACCAGTTTATTTGTTCAAGTTAAGCTTTCAATGCAGTTCTATTCAGAATTTCAGCCAAAAAGAAAAACAGTGTATTATGGACAGTGTTTCTTCCAGGCCAGGCCTAGAAGGGCAAGGACATGGGAAACACCATAGCTGACAAGAAGTGGCCCCTGACCAACTCGTTTTCCTCCCAGTGAACACAGAACGCCATTTCTTTGTTCCAGTCGAAAGACAATTCCAATTCCCGACAATGTCAAAAGAGAGACACTGTGTTTATGCAGGGAATATAGCTAACTGTTTAGCAGCTCCTTGGTCTGTTACTGAATACCAATGTCCCAATCAAACAGCCTTGTTAGTGAATGTGTGGTGCAAGGAGTGGGATGGGAGAAGAACCAGTCAGTTTTTGGTGCTACAGCACAGTTTCCAGAGTGGCTTTACATACACTGTATGAGCAGGAGCACTGCACTGACTCTGAAAGGCAACTGCAGCCAGGACCTGGTTGACTGAGGGAGGGAAACATTGTGACTCTTGCCGTGTTAACGTTCAAATTCTAAAATTAAAACTAGTCATTATTAAAAACTCACATAGTTCACAGCTATAGGCCTACACAGTAAGCAAATGTCTGTGGATTGGGGGAGGGGGTGAGGAGAAAAAGGAAACAAAACACTCTCCAAAATGTTCTTGCGTTTCTGGAGTTTGAAAGGAGTGTGCCCATTTGTCGAGGTCCCATCTCCCCGCCCCCCCGCGCCCCATGGAATTATTATGCTCCTCTGGACTTCCTTGGCTGGATTTGCTCACCCCGCGCTCGGGCTGGAAGATGCCGCCACTGCTGACCTGTGAGCTGGGAGTGAAGGTGGTATTCCTGTTCGTAGGAATGCTGGTGCCACAATGCCGCAGCTTTCCATCTTGCTCAAGAGAGGATTGCATTAGAACGGCGAATGCCAACTAAGTTATCAGCACTGAACGATCGTCTCATAGCAGCTTTTGACAAATCTTTGTATTTGTCCTCACACAGCCTGGAGATGGCCTGAAAAACATGGTCAAGACAGAAGTATGTGTTCAACATTAGCACAGCCAGGAAGGTTTTAAGAGCCACATCCATTCAATCGCCTTATTTTTCACACAACTGTATTTCTTCAGTTCTAACATGCACTTTCCCCGTTATATAAACCTCTCATAAAAGGGGGCGTGTCATTAGAATTGCAGGTGTATCTTATGTATTTTTGGTGGTGGTGGTGGTACTGAAATTAGGGTCCATTTTCCAATCAAAGGAGCCCCCGGTGGCACAGCGGGTTAAAGTGCTGAGCTGCTGAACTTGCTGACCGAAAGGTCAGCGGTTCAAATCCGGGGAGCAGGGTGAGCTCCTGCTGTTAGGCCCAGTTTCTGCCAACCTAGCAGTTTGAAAACATGCAAATGTGAGTAGATCAATAGGTACTGCTTTGGCAGGAAGGTAATGGCGCTCCATGCAGTCATGCCGGCCACATAACCTTGGAGGTGTCTATGGACAATGTCAGCTCTTTGGCTTGGAAATGGAGATGAGCACCACACTCCAGAGTTGAAAACGACTACAGTTAACATTAAGGTGAAACCTTTACTTTTACTATTTTCCAATCAACGGTGTCTTACATTGTGACTTCATCGAAAAACAACTACCACTATGTTGAGAAAAACCTCAATGAGTCTTGTTGCTCAGAAGTGGGCATGTATTCCTACATTCTTTAAGAAGCATTATCTTTTTTCAAAATTAAAAGAAGGAGCAACATCCTACAGCTTATCAAGTTTACACAATTATCACATATAATCAACAATAGGCTCCTTCTTTGGAGGAGAAGGCTGGATGGCCATCTGTTGGGGGTGCTTTGAATGTGATTTTCCTGCTTCTTGGCAGAGGGTTGGACTGGATGGCCCATGAGGTCTCTTCCAACTCTAGGATTCTATGATTCTAACATTTTCAGGTCCCATTTTCAGCAAAAGCTGCATAGTCACTTCTAAACAAATTAATGTTTATGGGCTTGACATGTATAGATGGCTTTTAATATCTAAACCAATTTCTAAGTTCAGATGCTATTGTTAAATTCATTACTGATATGAAGGAGTAGCGGCTCATCTTCCTTCGGGAAATCAAGCAAATATTCAGCCTCAGAGAAAAGGACAAGATGGCTGGATACAAACATTTGACTTATATATAACTCATAGTTACAAACAGGCCTTTCTCCTCTCTCCCTGCCATGAAACCTTAGCGATGAGCCAAAGTGTGTCTCCACACCCCACTTCCTTTTTCTTCTTATCAATATTACTCCAAATGCCTTTTCCTCTTTCGTCCTATCAGTCTCTCCAAATCTCCTTTCCTTTTTCTTCCTATACATTTCTCCAAACTCCTTTTCCTTTCTTTCCTATCTATGTCCCTCCAAACCCCCTTTCCCTTTTCTTCCAATTGCTATCTCTCCTAGCTCCGTTTCTCTTTTATTTTTGTGGATCTCCCAAATCTCTTTTCCCTTTTTTTCTTATGGATCTCCTGAATCCCCTTCTCTTCCTGTGGATCTCTCCAAACTTTAAACTTTTTTTCCTTTTGATCTTTCTACCCCCTTTTCTCTTTCTTCCTATCTATCTCTCCTTCATCCTCCCTGTATTTCTCCACCTCTCCTTTCCTTCATGCGAGACACTACTTTTAATTCCCTGGCTCAATGCTATACAATGCTGGAATTTGTAGTTTGATGACGCAGCAGCATTCTTTGGCAGACCTTGAAAAACTACAGCTCTCAGGAACCCATAGAAATGAGGTAAGGCAGCTAAAGTGGTATCAAACTGGATTAATTCTACAGCATAAATACACCCCAAGCAATCTGAGGAAGGATAAACAAGAGAGGCTCGTAGACTCATAGAGTTGGAAAAGACCTCTCTTGGGCCATCCAGTCCAACCCCCTGCCAAGAAGCAGGATAAACGCATTCAAAGCACCCCTAACAGATGGCCATCCAGCCTCTGTTTAAACGTTTCCAAAGAAGGAGCCTCCACCACTGAATTATCTATTTTGATGGTTTTCCGTTCCATTGTGTGGAAGCTTTGGTTTTTCTAAAAAAGGGATTCTAATCACACATTGGAACTATAATATGCACCTTTTTGTCCAAATTACAAAGAGTACAGTTTTTGCTGTACCTGCTCCAACTTACATATAAATTCAACTTAAGAACAAACCTACAAAACCTATAGTGCTTGTAACTTCAAATCATATCAAACTTTATTACAGTCCAAAGACCCAATTTGCTTAGTGGTAAAAAGTGCACAATTGCCAACAGATCAATAAACTGATAAGACCACTTAAATGCAGAACAAGTGCAATGCAAAAGTGCATATGAATAATGGTAAAAACACTCCAAATACATACAAGTTTGTAACTTGGGGACTGCCTGTAATGGTATGGAACAGCATCTCGGCATTCCATCCAGCGCTATAATAGCCTTTCACTTTGTTTCAACAACTCAACCAGGGTGTATATAATGATTAACTAGGGGAAGCTGTTAAATTCGTCTGAAACTCAAAGTGTGACCAGAATAATAAATGAAAACATTATCCTAAGAGACTATAAAAATGAGATGCCGCATCAGCACTATGGAACATCTAATTTTCTTTCTACTGATTTATACCTAAAATAAGGAAACTTTCCCTTCACAAGTGCTGGGAAAAGCGCTTCTGCTGCAATGGTTCATTTGTTTCTTCCTATGCTACAATCTGTAATAATATGTGAAACATCTGGCAGAGAATGCGTAAGTGGAAGAATCGCAAAGTGAGACAGAAGCACATTCAGCAGCTGTCCACAACCGACTGACTTTTCATCCTGTTTGGAGCTTTGAACCACGATGCCTTCTGAAGAAAGCAAACACAGTCTGAAGCAACAATACTAACGGCCACTAACCTGGAAATCTCACTCAACTTAATGGAACTTATTTCTAAGTGGACAGGGAGGCTTGCACTACTGTCAAAGTGTATGAAACTCTATTAAGATGTGCAGATTTCTTATTTGGTTGAAACCTATGGCACCAGGAAGAAGCTGTGATGGTAGGTGCCCCATAATGTCTTTTTCTTTCTTAAGTGACACAGCTTCTTCTTTTCTAGGTATCAGAGGTTTCAGCCTCAACCATAATGTGGGAAACATGCAGACTGTTGAGCTAGTCAGTTTGTGTCTATATCCAAACCCATACTTGTCTGTATCCATACAGCCTCTTTTTGAGACCTTTCACATGTTTTTTGTCCTTCCAAAATGATAAAACTGTGTAACATGATGTTTGTTTCTTGGATAGAAATGTCATATACTAACTCAGTGGTTCTCAACTTGGGGTCTCCAGATGTTATTGGCCTACAACTCCCAGAAATCCCAGCCAGTTTACCACCTGTTCGGATTTCTGGGAGTTGAAGGCCAAAAACATCTGGGGACCCCAGGTTGAGAACCACTGTCCTAACTGGTTCTATCATAAAACGTAAGAAAAGTTTATTAAACTGCAAAAATGTTGTTTTTGTGGGACATCCAGTAGCACATTTACCTATAGTCTTTCCAATTAATCCAGTAATTTCATTTTGTGGCTTCCACAAAGTATGTTGAATTGGTTGAGACTCTATCTCATAGAGTCTCAACCAATTCAACATGCTTTGTGGAAGCCACAAAATGAAATTTCTGGATTACAACAATTATTTTCAAAGCAAGTACCACACAATTAAACAGGAAATAACACTTTCAAACCAGGAACAGTTTTTTTTTCTAATTTTATTACAAAATGTAATCATTACATGACGGATTTCTGTCACTAAGGGGTTAGACCTTCCAATAAAACCAAACCAGAAAACTTTGCAAGCCACACTAGTGTAATTAGCATCAACAGGCACTGCTGTTCTGCAAACAAAGTCCCCAGACTGCCCGCCATTACCTCCAATTTCTGCGCCCGCTCTTTACTAAGGGGCTCCAGCAGAAAGCTCAAGTTGTTGTCATCTGCTAAGGAGCGAAGGTCAAAGTAGTATTTGGCGTAAACACTGGCAGGAACATTGATATTGAATTGCAACAGCTCCAAGAAGTGTCTTTCCATCTCATTCCTGGAAAAGAAAAGAAAAGCAGATTGGTGGAAAACAAACCAGGACTTTGTAAACTTGATTAAGACACATACACAAATCTCACGCGTACCTTTTCAATTAGAAAAAAAGATTGCATGTTGCAGTCAAAGCATTTTTAAAAAGGGGGACAGTGTTAATATGTTTCCATTAGAAGCAATAGGCAATTTGAATTACGGGCCCCCCAACTTGGTGAAAAAGGTTGTGTTCTGCCTCACGCTCCCTTGGCTGACTTGGGAGGCCCTGTTTAGACTTCCATTAGCACAGCTGTACACAATTCGCCCTCCATTCTCATTCTCACCAGGCCCTGTGCCGTAGTTATCAGATGAAACGAATGATGGGCGTGCTGTTGATTAGTTCTGAAGAACTTGCAGACATTTTCAGAGGGTTGATAACAGGAAAGGTTTTTTTCTTTATTGAAGTACAGCCAGACCAACAAAAGAAGTGGGCATATCACCACGGCAACAAATGGATCTCTGAAGAGCGGCTGCTATTATCTTGGAGTAAAAAGCCTCTTGAGGCAACATGGATTCATCTCCAGTAATAAATAAATAAGCAAGCCAGCCAGCCAGCCACATTAGGTAGGCAAAGGAGTCCTCTGTCCTGAAACTTCTGAGAGGATACTTTTCCAGGGCAAGAGAGGAGGAATTAAGGCAGCCTCATGTTATTCCACCAAAATCCATCCTAGGCATTCAGAGGCAGAGCAGCCTAGAAAAAACACCTACAGTCTTTAGATGAGTTGGAAAGCAATAGCTTTCTGTAATAGCTCCAACATCAAGTCAAAAGCACTGTTTTAGTTTTCATTTAGAAGTGTAATGTACAGTTTTCTTCTAATTTATTTATTTACAATATTTCTATACCGCTTTTCTCACCCCGAGGGGGACTCAAAGCGGTTTACACATAGGGTTGTTGTAGGTTTTTCCGGGCTATATGGCCATGTTCTAGAGGCATTTTCTCCTGACTTTTCGCCTGCATCTATGGCAAGCATCCTCACAACCTCTGAGGATGCTTGCCATAGATGCAGGCGAAACGTCTGGAGAAAATGCCTCTAGAACATGGCCATATAGCCTGGAAAAACCTACAACAACCCATAAGTTTACACATAAGTAATGGCAAAATTCAATGCCAGTACAAACAATTACAATTATACACTACAATTAAACATAAATCAAATTAAAACAATACATCCATAAGCAATAAAACAATAATTAAAACAATAAAACAGTCTCGTTCGTCAAATTGCCATTCCAGTCATTGTCTTTCTGAAATGCTGCACACATTTACTTCTACTGCCCGAAGGCCTGGTCCCAAAACCATGATTTAATTTTTTTTCTAAAAGGCAGGAGGGAGGGAGCAGATCTTACTTCATTTGGGAGTGTGTTCCATAGGCGGGGGGCCACAGCCAAGAAGGCCCTGTCTCTCGTCCCCGCCAGGCACATCTGTGCTGTTGACGGAAGCGAGAACAGGGCCTCCCCGGATGATCTTAGATTACGAGGTGGGACGTAGGGGCGGATGCGTTCGGACAAGTAAGCTGGGCCAGAACCATATAGAGCTTTATAGGTCAAGATCAGAACTTTGAATTTGGTTTGGAGGTGTACCATCAGCCAGTGGAGCTGGCATAGCAAAAAAATTACATTTTTTGTCAATTCAAAAACAGTTGACTTCAAAACAAAAAGTATCCATCAAGCTTAAAATAGAGAAGATATAAGATAGTCTTCCTCAAGGATATCATTTAAATTAATTCATATTGGGAAAATCTCAACTCATTGAAGTCATAACCAACCCCAATTAGTGAAACACTAGAATACAAATGCAATATGTTCAAACGGAAGCATTCATGTCGTAAGTTACATGTGCTTTTTGACTCCAGCAAAAAACCCGCAATATCTCACTCACACAAACCAGCAGACAAAGCCCCTATAAGAAGAAAACCATTTTAGAAAATTGTGCCCACAGTCTACTGCTGCACAAGAAAGCAAGGAAGGAGCACTCTCATTTTGTTCTTGTTGTTATGTACCTTCAAGTTGTTTCTGACTTACAGTAATCCTATCACACAGTTTTCCTAGCAAGATTTTGTTTTCAAATGGGAGGTTTACTTTGACTTCCTCTGAGGCTGAGAGTATGGCTTGCTATGGGCACACAGTGAGTTTCCATGACCAAATGTAGACTAGAATTCTGGTCTACAGAGTCAACACTTAAACCACTATACCGCGCTGACTTTCACTCTGTTTTCTAGACTTAAAGAAAGAAACAGAACTGTAGGTGTCCAGGTACAGCTGGGAGGGAAAGGCTCAGCAAGAAAAAAAGGCAGCTACTGTAAGGTACTTTGACAATAAGAAAAGAAGAGGCAGAAACTAAGGGCTGGTACACATCCTACTGAGGAGACTTGCCATATTATTACTGCCTGCCTTTTTAGCCCACATTTGCTGTAAGCTGTAGATTTAACTGTGTATTCAAACTGTGCAATTCCAAATAGATTTCCCCCAATTTACTCTGGGCAAAGCAAAAACCACACCATTGATCCTGTTGACAACACAGTTTCCTGCATAGAAATAGCAGCTGCACAATTGTGTATTAAATGTCTACATCAAGATTTCTTGATAACCTGGGGAGGGGGGGCCTGCGGACAGCAGCCAACCAATTCTTTTAAAAAACGTAGTTCGGTCGCAGAGCTTGATAACAAAAAAGAATCAATGATCTAGCCAGCGAGTCTCAATGAGAATAGACGCTTTGTGTGTTTTCCCTTGCAAGATGGACTAGGGTTCCATTAAATCCACAGCCAGAATTAATTTCCTGCTCATATGGCCATAAAGCGTATAGAAATGCAAATCAGATGATGTTTTGATGATCAGCTGATCATGCATTCATTTCCCCTTTTTTGTGCAGACCTCACTAATACATTTTAATTGTATAAAAATACAATGCTTTATGAGATTAACAAGTCTATTAATAGGGGTTTAAAGCCTCGGAAAAGCAAAAAGGCCCCTTGTATTAGCCTTGCCATATTTGCCATGACGCGTATCCCAAGAATGAACAGCATGTTCCCTTCTTGTATATTCACTGTAATCTACAGGATTACCAGATGCACAGCTAGAAGAGTTTCCCTATTCTTACAACACTTCATTAAGACAAGTATTTTAAAACGTTTAGCAAATTGAGCGTTACAGTTTCCTCTTGGTTCAGATTTCTCAGCACAGAATCAGAAGTGAAATACAAACGAAATCTGTAGTCAGAGGAAATGTCTATTTCTCCTTTTCTAAATTTCCTACTTTATATTTTAACCTTATCCAGGTAGGCCTAAAAATTTTGTTGAAATTTTCTATACTTCGAGATACTAATTAGGTATGTGTGCAAGATTCCACCCCGCTCCCCCCCCCCCCCCCCCGGTCCACCTCCTCGGAACTATAAATGTCCTTTTAGTTAACCTCTTTTTATAAAATAGGCAATTAAACTTAGCCAGAGAGGTGTAGTACTTTGAGTGTTAAATAAGGGGTCTGGAAACCTGGGCTGAATTCCCTGATCAGGTTCAGAAACAGACATTGGACAAGTCATACTTTCAACTTCAGAGGAAGGCAATGACAAACACCCATGAACAAATTTTGTCAAAAAACTCAATGATGGGGAAGAAATATAGCCCAGAGAAAAATGGAAGGAAAAAGAAATTTCCTGAATGAGGCAAGGAGAAAAAAAATAAGGCAGATTAGGAATATAACTGGAAATACTTTTCCAAAGCAACAGGTGAGTACTTGCCTTGCTTGGAGTGGCTATGCTTCAGCAACAAGATATTGATCAAACAAACCATCTTATTATTCTGTGCCTAAGAATTCATGGGCGTATCATAAGTCAAGAGGCATCAGAAGGCATAGATACATACAGGGACCAAGTCAGTGCCATCCATGTGTTGCTGCTTCCATTTCCTCGACTGCCAAAGCAGTGCCCTTACTAAGGGATGAGACTCCACAGTTGCCCTCATTCCAGTCATTTCCTTTACTCAGCTTAGCTGAATTCTTGTGGGATGCTAGCGCTGCCCAAATTTCAGGGTTTTCAAAAATGTTTTTCCCACATGGTCACAACATTTCTGGAAATGTTATAGCTCCGTGGATTGTATTTTATATTGGTTAATTTGTGGCTATTTTTGTTCTACATTCCTAATTTAGGGGCAGAGAATTTGATGAGTTGCAAAAAGCTCCTGGTGGATGCACGTAACCCATAATTCAATTTCCCCAACCTATCTTAATTGCTGTAAAGGGGGGCTTCAGAAGGGAGGAAAGCCTCTCTGCATGAAAATCTGTTTACATGTTACATACGAAGGAGGCCACTGCAGTTCGACATAGCTTTAGTTAACACATTTTTCACATTTTGCTGAAACATTTAAACAAGAATGCCATTAGACTGAAATTAATCAAACTTGAGATTTTCGTTTTCTCTACTAACCTGTAAAGAAGTGTTTAAAAACAAAGCTACATTCCAGTTTAGATGAAATATTTTATTGAAGGCAAAAGCAAGATGGGAAAGAATGAAGTAAGGTAGGGAATGGGTAGCAGGAGAAATGGTGCCAACAGACACAGGGATGAGTTTATGTAATTCTAAGAATACCTCAGAACTTCTAAAAAGGTTAAGAAAAAGTCAGAGATATGATGACTGATTTTTCATAAAAACACTGATTTCTCATGTACTGGGTAAGTACACAAGGCTGAAAGTGTAATATACATTGTCGGTAATTTTTTATGTGAACTGTTGAAACTGGCTGCACTGACCTTCAATAGTGATTTAGCATTCATAGCTGAAGAATACATATGAAAAAGAATGAATTCCCACCATTAGTTACAAGCATTAAAAAGGATGAGAACAAGAGTCATTAAAAGGAAAAGCACAGATTTATTGTGCTAAATATACAATGGAGAATTGTATACTGTCCTAAAAATACTACATTTCTAGTAAATATAATCCAGCAAAGACACAGAGAAACAAATTTAACCAATACATGGAACTTACATGTCTTCCACTGTAATATCCTTCAGAATTTGGCAGTAATCCACATTCCATACGGCCTGATCATCCCACACTTTCGAAGCCAGCAGTATAGCACCTAGAACTATTCTCTTCCAATTACTTGGGCAGATGTCAATCTCTGCATAGGTTAAAAGCCTTTCCAAGTAAACCTGCAGAGAGAAAAAATAAGCTTCTTTTCATATCTTCATAATTCACATTTTATCTATGCAACACAGAGATTTTGTTCACCATATTTGTCTACAGGCAAGTTTTCTGTTTTGAATCAATCCAAATAACTAAAGTTACTTAATATAAATAAATTTCTGAAACAGCAATGTGCATATGTTGTATATGGAACATCAATTAATTTTATTTAAAGACTTGGAGCCCCTGGTGGCGCAATGGGTTAAATCCTTGTGCCGGCAGGACTGAAGACAGACAGGTTGTAGGTTTGAATCCGGGGAGAGCGCATATGAAATCCCTCTGTCAGCTCCAGCTCTCCACGCGGGGACATGAGAGAAGCCTCCCACAAGGATGGTAAAACATCAAAACATCCAGGCGTCCCCTGGGCAATGTCCTTACAGACGATCAATTCTCTCACACCAGAAATGACTTGCAGTTTCTCAAGTCACTCCTGACATGAAAAAAAAAAAAAATTAAAGACTTGGATCCCATCTCCAAGATATCACATTATGTATGTGTAAGTATTCCAAAATAATATGGAACATTTCTGGTTCCAATATTTTGAATAAGGATGCTCAGCCTGATAGTTTAACTCCGCTTCCTTTTCTGGAGAGACACTGCCAGCTAGTGGTAGCACTTTTGTAGTGTTTCAAATACCGTATTTTCCCTTAGTAGTGATTTCTGATCTTTAGGGTGTTGTTTCTTAAGAATTCACATGGATTTTGGCTGTCAACAAATTATGTCATAAATTTGTCACACTTTTAGGACACTTCTGTTGTTTACACTGGAATAAAAATTAAGTACTCCATAAGACATTTTCATAACTAGTTGTTCATGTTAATATTGCAAAGCAATACTGTGAAAGGATTCCCAATTCTTGATTGCTCTAATCTGCACATCATTCCACAAGAATCACCAAAAGGTACAATGGTAGAAATAAACATAGTGGGCTTGCTTTATTTGCAAGAGTTTAGTTCTTGAACTCCCCATAAATACAAAAAGTTACAAATGATCACATCCCATGTTATTAAATGGCAGCAACCTCAACATGTACACATTGGCGTGACCACATTTATGTTATTGCAATTTACTAATATGAGGTGTGATGATCCATGGTCACTGGAAATCTTATCTGGCGGGTCCACTTTATTTATAAAAGTTTAAGAGAGGCCCTTAATCTCCATTAAATAACAAATGTTGCTGTTTATAAGGCATGGACTTTTATGTGAAAGTGTTCTGACACAAGATGATGCAAATTAATTTATATTTCTTCTATATAAATAAAAATGTAATGTTAGTTTGTGGGATTAACCTAAAACAAAAACCACTGGACGAAGTGACACCAAATTTGAACACAATACACCTATCAGGTCAACAAATGACCATCACTCATAAAAACACTGAAAAACACAGCAGAAGGAACTTAAAAAGCAAAAAACAAAACAAAACCAAAACAACACATTGCAACGCATGCGCATAACCACATAAATACACACATACACACATATATATACATGCATAACAAATATACACAGACTGGGCCACAGCAACGCATGGCAGGGGAAGGCTAGTTAAAAATAATTGTATTTTTTTTAAATAAAAGAAAGTAAAATAAAGGCAACTGGTATGGGGGAGGAGTGGGTAAGCATGTGGGGAAAATGGGAGTGAGATGGGGGGGCTTCAGGGATGGGTTTTTGCGGAGGGGAGGGAGTGTGGGGTTAGGTATAGGGGTAGGGAAGGGATTGTAAGTCTTCCTTCCTCTTGCTCGTGGGCTGGATTCAATGGGTATCTTTGTTGCCTTTTGTCTTACTAATTCTTGGTTGGTTCCAAGGAATATTATTTCCCTATTTTCTCACTTTGTAGTAAGAGCTTCATCTTTTCTTATGTCATATATCTTATCATTTTTGTCTTTTTTCTAGTTCTGTTTTGGTTGTGGGATATTGTTGTGTTAGTAAGTCTATCTTCATAATCTCTATCATTTTTGTCATGCCTTCTTGATTTGTTAGGATTTCTTTTGCTTTCCAATGTCTCGCGAATACAATTCTCGCTGCCATTGTCAGATACGTAGAGAGGATGTCCTTATTTTTTTCCAGATCTTTGTCTATAATTCCAAGGAGGAGGTATTTTGGTTTAAAATTTATTTTTTCTTGTAAAATTTTCTGGATAGCATCATGGATTATTCTTCAATACTTTCTTACTTTAGTGCAGTTTCACCAGATATGAAGGTGCCTTTTTCAGTTTTGCATTTCTAGCATTTAGCATTTGAATTTTAAAAATATTTCACGATTTTTTCCAGTGTGAGGTACCATTGATACTGCATTTTAAACCAATTCTCCTTTAATTCATATAAATAAGTATATTTTAGTTTGGTGTTCCATATCGTTTCACAATCACTTAACCTAATGGTGTGTCCTATATACTGCCCACTTTACCACTTTATATGTCTGGAATTCAGATATATCAAGATTCATTTGGCTAGGGGGAAAAGTGAGAATAAAATTTACGAATCTCACCAACAAAAAGACTAGAAGAGGCCCAGAGCTCCCCAATCTAAAACTGCAGTATGAGGCATGCGCTCTGGATTGGGTGAGAGACTGGACAACCCTTAAAACTATTGACACTGGAAGGATTCAGTCTCAGACATGGGTGGCATGCCTATGTCTGGTACGACAGGAAAAAAAAGACAAAAAAATTACAAATCATTTTGTTAGAGCGGCCCTGATCAAAGTATGGGAAAAATACAAGACTATGTCTACAACAAAACCCCGCTATGGATCAACCCATTGGAAGTATGCCAAAGGAGGGAAATAGGAGGGAAACTATGTCCCTTGTACAAAGAAATTATAAAGAAACAGAACAGGAATTTTATACTAAAGACACAAGAAGAATTAAATGAAAGGTACAACCACGTTTCATTATTCCAATACAGACAAATTAGAGAATATTACAGTATTGACAAGAAAAGAGGTTTTTTATGGAAAAGGAGACCCAATGGGACAAGATAATGCAATCACAAAATAAAACCATTACTAAAATTTACAAAAACGTATTGGAGTGGTCACAGAAAAAGAAATAGTCAAAGAGTGAATGAATATATTTCTTTTCCACTTCTGTATTACAAGAAAATTGGAGTATTATCATTAAGTTTGTGTAATTTTTTTTGTCGTGTCAGGAGCGACTTGAGAAACTGCAAGTCGCTTCTGGTGAGAAAGAATTGGCCATCTGCAAGGACGTTGCCCAGGGGACGCCCGGATGAATTGATGTTTTTATCATCCTTGTGGGAGGATGTCCTCATGTCCCCGCATGAGGAGCTGGAGCTGATGGAGGGAGCTCATCCGCCTCTCCTCGGATTCGAACCTGCGACCTGTCGGTCTTCAGTCCTGCCAGCACAGGGCTTTAACCCACTGCGGGCCCAGTTTATGTAATGGGCTTCTGTCATATTTATTGAACATGAAAACTTCAATACAAGCATCAGTGAAATCGTATATATTTTCTATATAAAAATATAATATAAGGTACAATGATGCACCAGAAATATTTTTAATGTTCAAAGTGGACTTCAATCTTAATTGTCTTTAGCCAAACCATCAAGTACCGTAGATATTTTACTATTTGTTAAGTCTAGTACAGGAAATACAGAAGATGTGAGACTTCATTTTCAAACATTAAACACCAGATGGCAGCAATGAAGCAAGACTTACCAGTGTCACTATTGCACATTCAGCCGTCAGCTGCGCTGCACTAAAAAGGGTACGTACAAAGCGATAGATGTGCTTGTGATCAGGGTCATGCTTAAAGTAGTCATCTGGAACTTCTTCACGCTGAAACATAACATAATGTAAATACAGCAGGGCTGAGATTTGACTGAACATGCAGAGAGAGCATTATGCTATTAGTGATGTGAAAATATTCTGCATGGATTGATTTGAATCAGTTACATATGGTAACTGGAACCTAAGGATTGAGAGCATTCATAATCTTTTAAGCATCATCTCTTTCTACTGCAACCCACTTCCACATTAGGTGGGAAAAGGGAGGGGAAAGAGATATATCCCAAAGTTGCATGGCGGGGTGTCACCAGGAGGAGGAAATGACAACTACCTCCATATGCATGAATAAGCTTTTTGGATTCTAGAAGTACTGCACAGTTTCCCCAGCATGATTAAATATAATCCCAGATGTCTTCCTCAAAAGGAACAAAGGCAGAACCAAGCACAGAACTAAAAGTCTAAGGTCACCATTCTGTAATATCAGATCTTCAATCCAGGAATTAAAAAATCTGTCTGAGCGGATACAGTATGAAGCATTATCAGGAGAAACTAAAAGCCAGGAATCTTCTCTTATTTTTTTCTACAATCCTGGCTTACCTTACAAGCAAACTTGAATAGGTAGGTATTACATGTCAAGAGTAACAATGCAATTGCTTACATTAAATCAAGTCATACTAAGAGAACGATCAGATTTACCGTGAGTGGATGGGACTTCTCATCAAAAATATCCAGTGATCTATCTGAATCCCTGCAACACATAAAGATACATATTACTGATGCTATCAAGCTTTTACCAATATACACATTTGCAGTTTCCACCTTGCTCAATCTGAGGAGGACTACACCCTATGAGTGGCATATGCCCACAATCTGTACCCTGTTTGCTTTTGTATTCCTCTGGTTAAAACAAAAATTGTGAAATTGAAATTAAAAAATAAAATAAAATACATTTTGTAGTTTTCAGAATCTGCCATCAAGCTTTGTTGATTTCAAGATATTGCCATCTAGACAGTGTAATGCAGTAACATGTAATCTCTTCAGTCTTCCATCTACTGACAGACTGCAACATCCTTCAGACCAAACCAGCGCACTTAAAAGTGAGAGATGATTGAGCTACAATCCCAAAACATTTGAGGAGTCATACAGTCCCTTAACCTTCCTGTAAGGGACTCGGTGTTTGTTTTAGAAGAGAACTCCAGTTGACTGGCCAGTGCTAGACAAAAAACACCTCCCAACAAAAGCTGCCCCACCATAATATGGGGTTGATGAAATATCTCACTGACAAACAACAATGGCACAAAAAAAATGTAAGAAATAACTAGATCATTTACTTGATGCATATATCGATACTGCCTTTCTGTTAAGCCAAAATGAAGCCTTGCTGTTATTTTAGGTATGTTAGTAGTCATACCCTAGTTGCAAGAGATACTTACTTCCATGAGACGAGTGACAAAGATGTTTATAAAGTGGAATAGCAATCCACATTCCTTACATCCTTCTTATATCACTATATATGCCACAAATGACCCTAACATATATTTTGTGTGGCTGTAAAACCTTTGTAGACTTATTTGAAAGGTCATTTCATGTGAGTAAAATAGGGAATTTGCACGAAACATGAAAGTGGTGGCAAAATTAGGAAGGCGGGAAAGTGAAGAATAGCAAGCATGGGGGGGGGGGGGTAGAAACCAGGTAACTCTGCAGAGTTGAACTGTAAGTCCAAATAGTCTGACACATCATAGCCAATGTGAGAAATGGTGAGAGTTGTAGCCTGACTTCAGCTTTACTACAAACTGCTGCCTGTTGTTCCAAAGCCTTTCTTAAAAGAATGCGGGGCTGCAATTAGGGGAGAAGGGCAAACATTGGGCAAAGGGCATTGCATGAGAGCAGAAATTGTGCAAAGGGCCTTCCTCTCATGGTACTCTAGATCAGTGGTTCTCAACCTGGGGTCCCCAGATGTTTTTGGCCTACAACTCCCAGAAATCCCAGCCAGTTTACCAGCTGTTAGGATTTCTGGGAGTTGAAGGCCAAAAACATCTGGGGACCCCAGGTTGAGAACCACTGCCCTAGAGCAAATCAGGCCAGAACTCTCCTAAGAAGCCAAGGTAACTACTCTATTTTGGTCATATCATGAGAAGACATGAGTCACTAGAAAAGATAATAATACCTAGTAACATCTAGGGACCCCAGGTTGAGAACCACTGCTCTAGATCTACCTGACCATTCAACTTGCCATGACATTTAATTTCCACAAATGCCTTTCTCAGATACATTTTAAAACCCATTTTCATAAATGAAAGATATTGGAAAACTTCATGTGGATGTTTAAGAAGTCAAAGAAACCAGCCTAAGCTCTAATTCATCATGAGTGCTGTGGTTCCTGTCTTTAAAGTAGTTCCTTCATTCCCAGAGAGCTATATTTAACACTAATCTCCTGCTGTTAAATGCATCCTGAAGAAGCTGGTATTTGCAACACTTCTCTCCCAGGTCAGTTTACAAAGCTATTGCACATAAAGCAACAGAAGATGGCGGTTTAATCTACTTTTGGAGAAAGCTTTTTTTTTTTAAGGCAGTAAATATAAAATCACATACTATCCATTACGAATTTGCCTCTTTTCCTCATTTTCCCAATATCCAGAGCCCTTTAATCTAGACATAATAGAACATTGCAGGACTGATGAACTCAAAACAAGATTCTGAGAACAAATGGCCAGTTTTTCAAAAGGTCTATTTTCATGTTTGCCTGTGATGCTTTTTTCATATATTTCAACAATAATGGTACCCTTCAGCTCAAAAGAACTATTTATTTATTGAAATATTTATATCCTGCCATTTATCACGAGATCTCTTCCAACTCTATGATTCTATGATAGGGTCTTATGGCAAGATACAACGAGACTATCATTTACATGGCTTTACTGTTATAACCTGGTCTACAGGAAAAGTTTCGAAATTTAGGCACATGACCATTTTGTCTTCTTTTCCTTTTTCTAGAGTTGCTTCTTTCGCCTTCGCTCTTTTTGCCTTATCCACATTCTCACAAGAACAACACAGAGAACAAGGTTAGAACAAGTTTTGGCAGTTATTTTCTCTTGAAGGAGGTGAAATGTCCGTGTTGTTAAACAGAGTGAAATTATTCAAATTGACACTTTTAATTTACATAGAAAAACACACTGAACTAAATGGTATCTGGCAGAGGCATGGATTCTGGGTGAGAAATTATAATTACATCCAGTTAAATTATTTTAGTAAAAACTTATTGTTAAAATTATATATGATTTGAATGGCAAGCCGAATTTAAAAACACTCAAGATTTTTGAATAGGCAGACATTAGTCCCATCTCAAAGTAGAAAAACCATTCATTTACAAGCCAGCTGCTGAACACATTTTATCTCTAGGAACCCAATGTTTTCAATTTCACAGAATGCCCCTCTTTCTATGTTTAGATATGAACTCATACAAATCGTTTTAAAAATGACTGATTCCACTCCAGTTTAGCACAATTGATTCACATTTCAGCTACAACTCTAATTCAGGAAGTGGTGCTGAAATTATAAATAACATCACTGTAATGATATTACAACAACAATTTCTAAAAGTGCTCACCTGTTCTTTATGTGATAGTATATTGCTAATGTAACACTGTGAGGAGAAGGGGAAAAAAAGGCATTTCATTGTAAGTGGTTCTACAGACTCCATTTTGATACAAGATTGCTGTTAGGAATAAAAACAGATTTTTATAACAAAATCCACATTGGGGACATTTGTTTCCATATCTTTTCCCCTAAGGCTCACATTCACCCAAAATTCTAAAGCATTTATTAATATTAAAATGCAAATGAATCTATGAATGTTAAAATGCTACCATAAAACTTGACACTGGTATTAATGGCTAAGTGAAGTAAGAGTGAAAGGTTTCACAATTAGATCAAACAAGACTCCCACAGATTTAATAAAGAGGTATGATCTCATTATAAAAGGTCAATGAATTTAGTTTGCGTAGGTAAGCTGGAGATGAAGCCACCAGAGGTGGGACTGTTGAGTCGAGAGGAAATCCAGATATACTGTGTATCAAGCTTGCTGTTGAACTCCGACAAAATCCTCTAACCACTTACTCATTTTTACTAAAAGAGTGATCTAATGATAATTGCACCTCTTCCTAGTCCAAGCCACTAGGTAATGATCTAAGCAAATCAGTGAGCATGCTTGCAACTTAATGTTGACAATGTTAAAGTTCAGAGGTCATGTGACTAAGCCAAGTTACCTCTCCCTTCCCCCCCCCCCCTTTTAGAGTAGGGGAAAAGGGAGAGGTAACTTGGCTTAGTACTATTAAATGCAACAGTATATGGTTCATAATATTATACTTCATACTAAGAATCCGTGAAGAAAAGAGTGATCACCATTCACTAACTGTGGATAGTCAACTCTCCTTCCATTCCCATGTAAAAAGATCCAAGAACATTCACACACAATGGAGTTGTCTTCTTCGGGGAATATAAGTTGGGGTTAACTTGTAGTAGGGCATCACCTATAAATGGGCTAAATCTATTGGCATGGAATTATCCCTTAAGCAGCTTGCCCTGCATTGAAGCAGATTGTTCTGTATGGTTGTTGAGCTACAAGAGTCTAAAGTACTCTGTGACAAAGCTCTTTAACTCTTGGGCGGGCAGGCAGGCAGATGGGAAATATCAGTCTCTTAGAGTCATGTTTTGTTGCAGAGTTCTTTTAGAGCCAGATCTACAAGGTAAGGGTTTTATGACATTGCCACCAAAGAATAAGAAACAACACTCCTACATTCCAGATACCTGCTATGTTAAAGAGTTTTTAAAAAGGTAATAAACATATCTGCCTAATATGAACTTGTGCTTCTGGCTTCAGGTGTGTGCATATATAATAATTCTATATAATATGACCCCTGTACCCACTGGGGATACATTCCAGAATTCACCCAGCATTGTGGATACCTAGAATTGTGGATAACGAACAACCCTGTATTTTATCCATACCTGAGCCAGAAGAATAATATAAAATTGTACTGGAGAACCTAACAAGGCACACAAACACTTTGGGTATGTGTGTGAGGGGGGGGGGGGGGGGAGAGAGGGGGGGATATTTTTGCAGGATGGCTAAGTGAAAACATGGACATTGAATCTGCGAATAAAGGATCTACACTATGATTATAAACATTCCTCTGCACACCGGACATTTTTATACCTTGCATTACACTGGAATTCTTACTGAAGTCAGAAAATATTCTAAAGTATGGTATTCTATGGAGGTTTTCATTTGTCCGGAAGGCTAACATTTTGTTCTAGACAAAATTATGATCTATAGTACAATTTCATTACTTCTACAGTGATGGGGTGGATGGGGGAGCAGCTGGTTCAAAACCTCTAGTCAATTGGTTCTAAACCTGTGGGTCCCCAGATGTTTTGGCCTTCAACTCCGAGAAAGCCTAACAGCTGGATTTCTTGAAGTTGTAGGCTAAAACACTTGCGGACCCACAGGTTGAGAACCACTGCTCTAGTCAATTGCCCAAGAGAACTGTATGTAAGTTAGTTTCAAAACTCTGTCAAAGTGAAGGAAAGGAAGGTTATTTCAAGCACTCAACCCTGAATATTGTTTCTTTGGCACAGTTGAAAAGATGCATATGTGAAGATATGTGCTAAGACTCAATTTTCTCCTATAGGAAACATACTCTGTTTGTGAAATAGTCCATATTATAGGTCCCAATCACACATCCAAGCTATTTTCTATAGTAGACAACAACAGAGTGCCAGGTACGAGTTTTCATCTCAAATACCAGACCCAAGCCACATCCACCCCAAGCATGCCAAAATACCAGTTTCTCCTCCAAGATAGTGACTGGAAGTGAAGTTCTGTCACTGCCAAACATCCTTCTGGATGGGAAACAGGAAAAATGAAGGTATTTGAAGGGGTGAGGTTATGGAATAGTTTGGAGGGTTGGAGAGAATATTATTTTCTGGCTGTCTGTCTGGAAGTCAAGACATATTTAAATCAGACTCTGAAGGTTGGGGGACTTGTAGGAACTGGCAGGGAGATAAAGGGGCAATGTGCAGCTTGCAATCCACATTTTTTCTGCCCCTGAGATATCTGAATAAACATGATCTAATTGTATCAACAGAAAAATAACAGGGTTTTGTTTCACGTTCAGAATGAGTTATCCCCAATTGTACAGTTTCAAGCATTAGAAGAGTGGTTCTCAACCTGTGGGTCCCTAGATGTTTTGGCCTTCAACTCTCAGAAATCCTAACAACTGGTAAACTGGCCAAAACATCTGGGGTCCACAGGTTGAGAACTACTGCATTAGATAATTTTATCAGCTTACCCAATGATAACATTCAGTTACTTGAAGGAGTAGAATTGTTCCTTGTGTATACAAGAATAAGCTTTGCCACTTATTTCTTCCTAACCTATCATTTCAATTTAAACATTTTGAAGTAAACTTATATTAAATGAAAGATATCTTATACAGAGGATCAAAGACAAGAGCAAGGATACTTATTCAACTACACATTTTCACTGGGGCAACAAATAAACCAAAAATACAGATAGCCAGGACACCAACAAATTTTATAAAGTGCTAAATTTTAGTTAACTTTCTTTATTCAGAAAATTTTGGAATCAACTTAGTCAGAGCTAACTTGGCACCACTAGATGGCAGACCAACATCAGAGCCCAAAATGAACTAGTTCTGCGTATCTTACATGAAAGTCATTTTTATACATGACCCAGAGCTTGTTTATTGCTTTCTTTAGAAGGATGGGAGGAGAGATTTTCCTGCTCACCTTAAATACAAATCAGGATTTAGCATTTCCAACTAGATTTGCTCAGAGGATACTGGATCATCTCAAGAGCGAGTGGTACTTACCATTTTATTGTGCTCCTAAGATTAGGCTGGCTGACTGTGCTGTCATCTATAAATATTGTTGAACATGAACTGTATTTTTTTGTAAGCTGCCCTGGGGAAACCTATAAGGAGTGGGAAAAATTTTTAAAAATAGTTTTGAAACCCATGAGTTCTGGTTTTAGTCAGCATGCACACCCAATGCTACATATGGAATAATTGTGTATACCAGGGGTCCTCAAACCAAGGCCTGGGGGCCAGATACGGCCCTTCAAGGGCATTTACTCGGCCTTCACTCAGGGTCAACCTAAGTCTGAAATGACTTGAAAGCACATGACAACAACAACAACAACAATCCTATCTCATCAGCCAAAACCAGGCCCACACTTCCCATTGAAATTCTAATAAGGTTATATTTGTTAAAATTGTTTTTCATTTTAATTATTGTATTGTTTTTAAGTGGTTTTTGCACTACAAATAAGGTATGTGCAGTGTGCATAGGAATTCATTCAATTTTTTTTCCAAATTATAATCCGACCCTTAAACACAGTCTGAGGGACTGTGACCTGGCCCTCTGTTTAAAAAGTTTGAGGACCTCTGGTGTATACAACGTTATTAAAGAAAACAATGGAATACCAGAGATAGATTCTTAAAGAGTGGATTGAAAACCAATAGTGTGACAGGCAGAGATCAACAGCAGCATACTGGAATACAGATATCTACACAAGAAACCAAGCTTTTAGGCACTAAAATGCCAAACTCCCAGCATTTCTATACACCCATTTATTCACACAGCTATTGCATATGTAGTCTATTTGACAAGAGTGACCCATGGAAAAAATAAGAATTGGCAAACAGAGACATTGATCAAAACGTTGAAAGGTGACTTGGAACTCTAAAGTTAAAATTACATATACTAATACATATAAACTTATTAGTATTTCAAGTTATCATTGTATGCCTGCTTTTGCTGCTTTAAAATAGCTGGCAAGAGAGGCTAATATGAATCAACGAATAAAAGGGAGATATAATTTTCCCTATGTGCCATTTCTGGAAAATACTCAGCAAATACAAGAATGTTATTGCAACAAATTGAATGGAATTTTGAAATAGAAAAGATCATGGGAGATGGGAGCTAAATCTCCCAGTCTTAACTTGCATCAGGGCTCACTTGCAGCTATTTTGAAAAGTGAAATAACACGAGAAGGTAACATTTAACACTAATTCTAATTTGACCTCACAGGGAATATCAGATCATATTACTCAAAGGGTATTCCCTGGAAAAATGAAAATACAGTAGAGTCTTACTTATCCAACATAAATGGGCCGGTAGAACATTGGATAAGCAAAAATGTTGGATAATAAGGAGGGATTAAGAAAAAGCCTGTTAAACATTAAATTATGTTACAACTTTACAAATTAAGCAGTAAAACATGTTTTACAACAAATTGACAGAAAAGGCAATTCAATACACAGCAACATTATGTAGTAATTACTGTAGTTACGAATTTAGCATCAAAACAGACAAGGGTTCTTTCATTCTCCCACCCTGGACATTATTCCGGGCGGGAGGCAGACTGCGTTGGATAATAGAGAACGTTGGATGAGAGAAGGATGGATAAGCAAGACTCTACTGTAACAGTTATAGTCAATGGACAGATAGATGTTACAGGCTGTTGCCACATTACAGAAAAAAACCCTGTTCCCTCAACGTAAGATAACCTGAGAATCACGTGAACAAAACTTAATATATTCCCACTTACAATAACGTGTACAAATTACTGAGGACAGGGAAACTTTATCAACACACACTACAGAGCCCCTTTCCATCACATTCTCAACCTGTGGGTCCCCAGATATCTTGGACTTCAACTCCCAGAAATATTGACAGCTGGTAAACTGGCTGGGATTTCTGGGAGTTAAAGGTCAAAACACTTGGGGACCCACAGGCTGAGAACCACTACCCTAAGGAAACTTTTTTAACCCTACAAATTTTGTCTTTCAATCAAGTCATTCTGAAAACCAGCAGTAGGTATCTTAAAACAGAAGGTACTTTACTTCAGTCTCATGGAGGTTTTTTTTTTAATAGACCATTTACACTGGAGAGCTTATTGAATCTTTAGTTACAAAGCAGGAGACTGTTGCCAGCTTCACTAACTGTTAAGGCATATGTAATATATATTACCTAATTTAGGAAATGCACCCTTGGTGAAGGTAAGATACTTTTTAATATCCTTTTACTAAAGTCTAGCATTCTTCAAAGAGTACCTAACAGTGGGCTGATACTGGGTGGTCTGTTGGAAACGTAACATGACCAGCCCTCTGCCTAATTGTGTGTCCTTTGTTTAATCTCTGTTTTGTGTATTTAATAAAGCTATGTTTTCGTGTGTAACTTTCATAGAGGTATGTTTTAATATGTGTATTTGTGGTGTTTTTGCTGTGCTTATGTGTTTTCATTGTTCTGTAACCCACCTTGAACCATGGAGAGGCAGATAAGAAATAAAAATTATTATTATTATTATTATTATTATTATTATTATTATTATTATTTGAAACACAACAAGATGAGTCCACAGCAGACACTCTGCTGGCTGTTGAATTGGATCACATGTCTGACACTTCCTAAGTATCTAGGACTGTGTGATGTATCGGCGAATAATGCATGCAGATCCCAGTAAGGTGGCCTTCTGCAGCTGGCAGATGGTAATTTTGTCAGTGCCGATTGTGTTTAAGTGCAGGCCAAGGTCTTTAGGCACTGCACCCACTGTGCTGATCACCACTGGGACCACCTTGACTGGCTTGTGCCAGAGTCTTTGCAATTCGATTTTTAAATCCTCATATCGTGTCAGCTTTTCCAGTTGTTTCTCTGCAATCCTGCTGTCACCTGGGATTATTATTATTATTTGCATCTAGAGAACTTTCCCCCGCCACTCGACTTTGATGGCATAGTGTACTTTAAACTCATCAGTAACAGTAGGGCAGATTATTTGCTTTATCAATGTTTGCAGGCAGAACTCATATAGAAGTGGTATTATAAAGTTATTCAATGTCACTACTCCTGTTAATCACAAGTGAGCCTATTCCTTTAGCTGTCATGAAAGTACACATGAATGCTCTAGCCCATCAAAGTTATAATCATATGGGATAATGATTTCCTGCTCACTTGTAAAAGATGTATTTAAATTCAATAGCTTCAATAATCCCAACTTCCATATATGTGTTTAAGCCTAGATACTACAAAGCAGCTAACTACTGAACCTGTTACTGTGCTCTAGAGGACTGGGAGAAAAGAGGATTTTTAACAGGCAGAGTAACCTCGTTTTCCCTATGCAGTGAATAATTTCATCATTCTGAGCAAAAAATCCTATCAATCCTCCAGTCTATAGTATTTTGAGCTCTAATTGCTAATTTTTGCCAATAAAATCATCAATTTTTTAGTTCTCTTAGTACAGCATGTACAAAATAGAAGAAAAAAACCTATGAGTTTTTAAACCATGGCTGTGTATTTTTAAACAGCTTCAATTCTATTCAGCATGGATATTGAGGATTACTTTTCTTTTACTGAGCAATATAAACCACATCCTTATCATGACTGTACCCTTAAATCCCACTGATTTCAAAAACAGCAATTCAGATTAAATTTGTGAAAGAAGATGCTGCTGTATCCTTTATAAAACTAGCTGACATGCTTTTACTTACACTTTTCATATCTATTTTATATACGTACATGGTTAATGTGGTTGCTTTTCCTCTTCTCTCTCACTGAAAAGGGAGAAAGGATTTCTATCAGAGAATACTCAAATTTCTAAATAGATGACATTATAAAATATAGTATGCTTTCATTTGCTAAGAGTTTTTTCTCTCTAGTATACATTCAACCCTGACATGGATATCTATGATTTATCCAGTAACAGTTCAATAGTTCATCTGTTCAAGGTTGGTATATCACCGGGAACTTGCATTTGAAATATTGAAATAAATTACAGACAATGAATGTCACTCAATCCAACAATAGCATACTCGACATTGGACTGTTAGGATTGGAATGCACGTGAAGGAACTCATGGGTCATTGGATTTACTCAATCAAAAAAATATTCCTCACAAAAGCTTGTAAAAGAGATATCCATAAACACCAGACTGTGGGGAAGGTTTTTTTAAAAAATTGTGTCAGAAGTGACTTAAGAAACTGCAAGTCGCTTCTGGTGTGAGAGAATTGGCCGTCTGCAGAGACATTGCCCAGGGGACGCCTGGATGTGTTACCATCCTGTGGGAGGTTTCTCTCATGTCCCTGCATGGGAAGCTGGAGCTGACAGACAAGACCTCACCCCGGTGATAGCAATTTTTCATAAAGGGTATATTACCTGAAATGTGGTCATTCAATAGTATCATAATTAGGTATTAATGTGCTAGTCTGGGATGATCCAAGCAAAATTGGAACATTTATACTACTAAAATAACTGCTGTTTGGAGCTGCGCTATCTGGAGCACATATGGGAATAATGTGGCCTCCCTGATGCTGTTGGACTGCAAGTTCCAGCAATGCCAGCTAGCACAGCCAAAGGCTAGTACTGGAAGTTCAACATCTCCCAATCCTGAGTTAAAATGTTGAAACGGAAAATATTTCATACAAATAAAATTCAATCTATAACTATTTCTCAATTAAGATCTAAATATGCAAGCTATTCTCCCCTCCCTTTTCAAAATTGAAAAAGTTTTCTTACCATCTGTTTGGGATTTGCTCAAGAAAATTGTGCTTGCTCGAGGATGGTCAGATGGATTTGACTCCAATGCTAAATCTGAAACAAAGAATATGAAACACTACTCAGGTATATCTTTTTTTTTTTGGGGGGGGGGGGGGGACACACAAAATTCAAACCTCCCCAAAGAAGCAGTCATCGACCATAAACATTCAGAGTCAAGTCAAGTAACTTCATTCCTAGAGATCCCATACCACTTTCCTTAACAGATGATCATTAGCACCTATGACATATTTTGTATACAAACCAGTAGTTCATGAAGGCGTCATGTTAAGCTAAAGTCTCGACTTACCAGCGGAGAGGCAGCATGCACATGCATGCTGGTCAACTGCTCCTGCTATAAATGGGATAAACTGGACAACCTTCGGATTGTCCAGTTTCAGACTTGTATGATGTCTGAATTCAGTAGGAGCTGAACTCTGGGTGCCAGTTTGCTACTGAATTCAATTCAAAGTGCTGGTCTTGGCCTATAAAGCCCTAATGGTGCAACTTACCTGTTCGAATGCATTTCCTCCTATGAGCCAACAAGAGCTTAAAGATCGGTTGGGGAGGAACTGATCTCGGTCCCATCCCCTTTGCAAGCACGATTGGTGGGAACGAGAGACAGGGCCTTCTCAGTAGTGCCTCCCCCAGCATTCCCTCCCCAGTGACATCAGGCAGGCCCTGTCTCTTCTGGTTTTCAGGAAAAAAAACTTAGACATGGCTCTGTACTCAAGTGTTTGAAGAATAAGCTATTACGGTTTCAACACAGTCTGAATAAGGATTATGAGCAAGGATTATGGAAGAATTGTACCATGCACTTTATATGTTTTAATCTGTTTTTAATCTGTTATTATTCTATGTCTTTATTCACTTGACTGTTTTAATTGTTTTAGTTGATGGGATATGTTTTATGATTTTGTTTTAAGCGGCATTGAATCTTGCCAGAGTTGTAAGCTGCCTTGAGTCCCCCAAGGGGGAGAGAAAGGCGGGGTATAAATGAAGCAAATAAATAAACAAACAAACAAACAAATTGTGCCTAGCTTGTGGTTTTATGACATACACACCAAGCCTGCTAGGGACCTAGTAATACTCCACACATATTTATAACTAATAATCATGTCATGCAGCCCAGTATAAGGAATGTCCATTAGTTTTTCTGAATATGGCCGCCACTGTTTTTGATAAAAAGTTTGCAAGATATTTTCATGAACTTCAAGGTGTTAACCAATTATGAATAATATTGAACACATTTCACAGTGAATCACCAAAGTTGGATTTAGATTCAACAAATATGATCACTTTGTGATTCACAGGAAAAGAACCCCACATGTACTTTGTTGTGAAGTCATCTCAGGTCAGGATTACTTTTTTAAACCTTTTTTTTTTTTACAATATGCCCATTCTAGTGAATCTGTACTGATATTTCCAATTTACCTTTCTTTCCTACTCTCAATCCTACCTTTCCTTCTTTATGTCCAATCCAGTACACATAGTGAGGCAAAAATCTCACCGTGTGTGAATCTGTGTACATGTTAACAGGTTTAATAGGAAAAATTGTTGAAGATGAGCTCAAATACAATGCATTCTGTAATGCAATGCAATGATACATACTGTCCAAGTCAATACAATGCATTGTAGTGTACTAGGATGGAAAATGAGAGATAGGCCCATGTTTCTGTCAAAAAGGAAACAGCTGCTCTGAGGGATTTAGATGGCAGACATACCGGTATGCCTGTGGACTGCTGTCAGGAACAACTCGTGCCACACTAAGATAGTTCCCTCCTTGAAAGGATTGCAAACACCCTCTTCATAACACTAACTTGACAACTCTTACATATTTCTCAGCTTAAGCTCAACAAACCAGCCAACAGATATGTGAATAAGATTGTTACATCACTCTCAGCAATGAAGAAAAACAAGTCATGTATCGCATATCACACTTCTTGCAGGGTAACTAAAGTATGCAGTTCTTTAATTTTGTGTGAATGCATTAATCTAACAGTAAAGGCACAAGATCTAGGACGCACAGCAGGATCAGCTCTGGTTAGATTTTGGATGGGAGACTGCCAACAAATACCAAATGCTGTAGGCCATGTTTCAGAGAACTTATAAAACCACCACTGAGTATTCCTTGCCAAAGAAAACCCTACAGAAATCATGGGGTTGCCACCAGTTAACATGTGACTTGAAGGCATGCAGACAAACACACAATGACAGCATATTCCACAGCCCGAAGAGTAGAACAAAAATCATGTTGCTCCTTTAAGCAGACTTGCTTCCATGATTTCAGTTTGTATTTTATGCGGTGGTTTACAAACTTCTTGCACTGTCACATGCAATGGGAGAACATACAGCAAATAGTAGTAACAGACTCTTCTGAAATGATCACTGCTCCAAAAGCATAATTTTATATACTTCACAGTATCAACACCAATGAGAGTTTTCTGTTTATAAGCATTTGACATTGCATGCTATTTCAACAGATCACAAGCCATAGCTGATGTGAAAAGTTTATCTAATTTCGGATTGGAGCAGCTCTGCAGCATGTCCCAGAAGCCGCTTGCAGGCCAAAGCTCTTCTCTGAGGGAGGCGGAAAATGCATGTCCAATCCTTGTTTTCTTTCAGAAAACAGCCAGGGTGCACACAGTTGGAATCTCTAGAACTTGGAGTCAATAGTTAAAACTAGATGCCACCTTTAATCCTAACTTGTAAGGTGGAAACTCATTTTTACACTGCATTCCTCCCTTTTCCTTCTTTTTAACCAGCAATGTATTACCCAGGCAATTCAATTTTGGTTGAGAGAAAATCCAGTTGATTACACCAGATTACAACGAGAGTCTCCAGTCTATTATTGCAATCCCAACCACCATAAATCCCAGTCAGCACGGCCTAGGGGACACAATACAATAGGATAGCAACATCGAGTAGAGAGACAAAGCCTTGATGAAGAAATACAATGGAGCATGCTTATTACACAGGCAAGCCGACTTATACAGGATATGGCTGCACTGCAAACACAACTTGTCTGCAATGAATTTAACATGTGGGCTTCTCTATTTTCATCTGGTTCTGGCCATCACTGGGGCACACATGCTTAGGCTACTTATCAGGGGCATACTAATATAGCATACAAGGGGGAAGATATGGAAAACTAACTCTGATAAGTTATTTATTTTGGGCCCAGAAAATGCCAAAACCATAATAATAGGTCCTGCATTTAATTTTTTCTGGTAGAATTTTTTAAATACTGTATGCTACCAACCAAAAAGAATGACATCAAATTTCTAACTTGTAAAAATTATGATTGCCTCAATAACTGACACTTCTAGGAAGTTTGGGGCAAGCAGCTCACAATTCAGCACATGTAACTCTGTCCTGGATTGTGGTTCTTATTTTCAAGTAGGTGATTTTACCATGTGAAGAGAGCTAGAAAGAAATTCACTAATTTCACAATTACTTCTTTTGCCTCCATAGATAACTGTAGTATTTTAAAATGTGGGCTGTAGGTAATAAAAAGCACTTATTTAATAAAAAGCACAAGTGAATTAACTGCTATAGAGACTAAGTGGGCATGGCTGCTTAGGAAATATATCTTCCACAATAGAGAAAACTGTTTAAAATAATTGTTTCCTGGCCATTTAAAATCATGATTTGAAGTCATGTCATCCTGCAAGTAGCTAAGTGCAGGCCCATTTTCTGACCTAAAAGTCCAGACTACCAAAAAAGAGACTAGCATTTACAAGGGAAAGAAATCCATACTCAAAGAAAGTGTCCATAACTTTCAGTTCATAGGAAAAAGCATTCATGAAAATCTATACTATACTATTTTCTTCACAGATTGTACAAGCTAGAAAGACAGGGTCTCAAACAGGGTCTCCAAGACAGGCATTTGTAATATTTACCGTAAGTTTAAAAAATAATGAGTAGTGAATGAAATCTAAACACACACTTAACTCACATTTAAGACAGTGATTTTATCTACTTATTGGAGAAATCGTTCCCAACCTATATCCATATTACTTAAGGAAGAATTAACAATAACATTAAGAATCATTTTTATTTGGTACCTTTTGGAAACAAAGCCCACAAACATGGTCCTGAACTTACTGATGGGAAAAATATTTCAGTAAATGACCACAGAACTTGACAGACGTTTCCATAATAATTTTGCATATTTCATTCTTAGTTGAAGACTTTATGCTGTTATGTTAGAACTCTAGTAACTCCTAAGGGAAGCTGCTTTCTTTTTTGAATACTTGCATATATTTTGGCTCTTAAAGAACATATAATGTTCTTGGCCATTAGGTTATGACTAGCTTGAGTGCTATAATTCACTATGGGGCTTCCCTTGGTTGCCAGCCGAGAGAAACACTGTAGCTGTCTGCTGGCCAGAGCTATGGGGCCTCTTTTGGCTAGCGGCAGCCAGAGGGAAGCCTCCTAATTCTTGTGCCTTCACCCGCCCATCCCTCGAAGCTATGGAGGCTGATCCAAGGGGAAGACATGTAAGTGACAGTGCGACTATTATGCAATTTAAAAAAAAATCTCACTGTCTTCAGTACTATTTACTTTCAAGCGTAAAGTTTTCCCCTAAGATAAGCATCTTCAGAAAACCATCTCTGAATATATTAGCTCTCGAAACCTCCTTTTGAAATAAATCCTGTTTAGAGCATTATTCTAAATTCCTAATTAAACTATGGTTGTTTCTCTATATCCACAGATTCTGTATATCCACAAATTCAACCAACCATGGCTCAAAAATATTACGGGGAGGGCAAATCCAAAAAGCAAATTTTGATTTTACTACCTGCCAAGCATTACGCTGCTATGTAAGCATACCCTGCATTAAACTCCTAACGCTTCACAGATCCTGAGGCTCTCGCCAGCATTTGTTTTTACTTTTTTCCTATTTCAATGTGAGGGATAATATTTTATTATGTCACTGTATATAATGGGACTGAATTATCCATGCATTTTGGTATCTGTGAAGTGGGTGGGTGCTCTGGCACCAAAACCCAAGAGATATCAAACCCGCTGTGATAGTACTGTATTCCTGTCTT